TCAAAGTGCTTTACAGAATCATAATAAAAACAAATGAAAAAATACATAATCATCACAAAATTTAAGATTAAAATTAAAAAAGAGAGAGAGGCAAATATATGCAGGAGGTTTATTACAGACAAAAAAACAAGCAAAATTACTGAACTTTGGACTATTACCTGCCAGAAGAGCCATCGCCTTGAACTGGAAAAATACTGAAGCCCCTTCAACAAAACAGTGGATTAAGGAACTTTCAGAATGTATCGGCCTTGAAACATTGACATTTATAGCAAAGCGAAAACAAAAAGACTTTGCAAAATTATGGGAACCTTATTTATCCAAACCTACATCCAAAAATTTGAAGTGATGCGTATGTATAATAATATTGTTGTTCTTGTTGTTATTGCTTGGCATTGGTGGTAGGGATGATAACAATGATAATACTTAAATTTTCATTATTATTGTTTTTGCTATTATTATTGTTTATTTATTTATTTTTATTTTCCTATTTTACTTTATTTTATTATTTTAGTTTTTATTTATCTATTTATTTATTTATTTTTCTCTTTTCCCATTTTTCATTTTCCCTTTTTAAAATTCATATGGTCACTCAATATGAATGTTTGACTTACCTCTGACTGATAAATTGTAATGTGCAAGTATTGTTTAGGGAATATGTGAATGTGTGTGTGTGTGTGTGTGTGTGTGTGTGTGTGTGTGTGTGTGTGTGTGTGTGTGTGTGTGTGTGTGTGTGTGTGTGAATTGGCCTGTTACTCTTTTTTGTTTATATGTTGACCTGTGTTAACCTGGTCAACATTTTTTGTCTGAAAATTAATCAAAATATTGGAGAAAAAAAAAAAAGAGACAGTCAAAATCTCAAAGTCTCAAAGTCCCTTAGCTATAGACTTTTGGATTTTATTCCAACTTTTTATTCTGTTAGGTGTTTTTTAGACAATATGTTATAAATCTGTAAGATATAGTCGGTGTAACATGAGTTTAAAGCCACATCAGTGTAACTGTGAGACATGATCATTGGCATAATTCTATTACAGTTCAGTTACTTCTTAGTTATTGCACCATTCAAGCAATCACTGAAACAAGCAGTCATTCTAGTGTGCTTCAAATCTATTATCATCATCCTGGTCCCAAAAAAGGCTTCCACAACCAAACTTAATGACTTCTGCCCCATAGCACTTACCCAAGTCATCACCAAGTGCTTCGAGAAACTGGTTCTGAGGCTCATCAAAGCCTGTCCCCCCCACTCTAGACCCGCATCAGTTTGCATACCAGTTAAACAGATCCACAGAAGATGCAATAACCACTGCCCTCCACTCTGCGCTGAACCACCCAGAGAAACAGGTGAGCCATGTCAGGATGCTCTTCACTGACTACAGCTCAGCTTTTACACAATAATACCAGACATCCTCATCCCCAAGTTGGCCAACCTGGGGCTCCCACCATCCACCTGCTCCTGGATCAAAGACTTTCTGGTCAATCGACCCCAGCAGGTGAAACTGGGTCCCCACCATCATCCACCCGCACTCTCAGCCCCAGCTTCTCCAGGGCTGTGTGCTGAGCCCACTCCTCTACTCGCTCTACACTCACGACTGCAGTCCCGCCCACCCACAGAACATCATTGTCAAATTTGCTGACGACACGACAGTGGTGGGGCTGATAACAGGGGAATGAATGAAGAGCTGTGATGGGGTTCTATTCTAGGGTAATGATGATGGTGTAGTCAGACAGATGTTTTCATGGTTTAATTAGTGACAGTGTTCCCAAATAATGAAGTTTGAAGAGTGCTATATACAAAAACAGTGAAACAACAAAGAAAAGGTAGTTACAATATATACACACATCAGCAAAAATATGTTTGATAATCTGTAGCATGTTACCTTCCACGTGCAGGTCCAGGTCTAAACTGACTGAGGGAGGGAGAGTGGCCCTCTTTTATCCCCTAAGACTCCTCCCCCAAGCCAATTAACACCAAATATGGATTTTCACCCCTAAAACCCAAGTTAACCATTACAATGAAAATAGGAAAAATACTGAAAATGCACTGAATCATATGGTCATGTCTCTGCGCCTGTAGCAGAACCAGAAAATGTAAAATTAATATTTTATTGTTAGCTGTGTTTTTTTGGTGACGATGTCACAATGACGTCAGACGCCAGTGTCCTGTGCACAAAAACGGAAATAGAAAGTGATTGACAGGGCTTTGTTTGCCAGTGGGGCGAGTGAACTGGGGATGGATACTTGGTTGAAGGTAGTTGAGAAACAAAGTTATGGATGTGGACGATTTGGCTGAGGACTTGTGTGCACCCAAGACTACTGTGGTGGTGAGCAGATGGAAAATATATTGCAGGGACCAGTGCAGACAGATGGGAAGTGAGAAACAGAGCAGGATACTGGTGCGGAATGAATGAAAAGCAGGTAGGTAGCTAGCGCGGGCTTGTTCAGGTGTGCTTAGGTAAACGTGCTCCCTGGCGGAGCGGCTCCATCACAGGCACCATACAGAGATGAGGTCATGAAACACAGTGAGGCTGTGCAAATAACTTGACACTGAACATCACCAAGACTAAAGAACTCCTCCTGGACTTTGAGCGAGTGGAGACCTTCATATTCCTCGAGGTTCACGTCTCTGTGGATCTGTCCTGGTCAGTCAACACTTCAGCACTGGTCAAAAGGCCCAGCAGCGGCTGCACTTCCTGAGGTGTTCATGAAGGAGGAACTAAACACGAGCTGCTGGTGACCTTCTATCGTTCCACCATTGGTCACCTGCTGACCTCTGACCTCTGCTGTGTCAGTGTGGCTCTCGCTGCACAGAGGCCGACAGGAAGAGTCTGCAGAGTCACCAACACTGTACAGGACATGACTGTCTGCCCTCTGTCTTCCATATCCACCATCTACAACTCCCACTGTCTCAGCAGAGCGAGGAACATCATTAAATAAAATACACCCTGGATTCACCTGTTCAACCTGTTGCCTTCTGGCAGGAGCTTCAGGTCAGTTCCAGCTTGGACCAACAGACTCAGGGACAACTTCCTTCCCAAAGCTGTCAAGATACTGAACTAATTTTTACACTGAGAACTGTTAATTTGTTTGCTTTTTTTTCTTGCACTTTGACAGAGCAGCTCTGCATCTCTTTATACTGTATAATGACAATAAAAGCTTTCTATTTTATTCTATTCTATAATCTTACTACTTGAAATGTGCACTAATTTCTATGTATTTTATTTCATGTGCTTCTGTCTCAGGTGTAACTCTGTTGTCTGACGTACAGTGGGTAATAATGTTGCATATGACTCTTCATGTTATTAAAAAAAAAAGTCTGAATGTTAGCAGCTTGCATCCTTATTTTCTATGTTCAAACACACTGAACATGTCTGAGGTCACACCACTAGATTTAAGCCTTCTATTGGAGGAGGAGTTCAGAGAGGGAGGTGGGAGCAGGTTATGGAGAGACTTTATAGGAACAGGACGATCTGAGGCTGTTTGTATTGACTTAAGAAATGAAATGAGGAAACAGTCAACTTTTAATTTGGCACAGACTGAAATCTTGATGTGGTGAGGAGGAGGAGCAGGAGTAGGAGGAGTCACTGACAGTCGCCTCCTACACTGGGCAAGTTTAGAAGGAAGATTTGAGACAAACTTTGGACTGGAGTCAGTGGAGGAACTGCACAAGACACAGGTAACATCTACTTCTTTTACTTTAATTATTATTCAAATACACAGTTTTTTATATATATATATAGTGTGTGTATATATATATATATATATATATATATATATATATATATATATATATATATATATATATATATATATATATATATATATATATATACATGTATACATATAGTGTGTAATGTATGTATATAATGTTATAATGTACGTATATATTTATAAAGGGCTTTTAATACAACAAAGTAACACAATGATTAAAAACAATCCCACATTTCCTTCCTCATTTTCTTCCACCTTCCCCCCACAGCTGCCCGACCCCACACAACCAAACAACCCAGACACACACACACACACACACACACACACACAAACACACACAGACAGCTCTTAATGTTTACATTTTTTTTAATAAAATGTCAAATGTGGGTGTGGTCAACCTGCAGAACAATGGACATTTAGCAACAAAAAAAAAAAAAAATTATATATATATATATATTTCTAATTCTGTTTGACCCAATAGAACATTTACACACAGACTTTAATATACATAGTTATGATATAAAACTGCTCTACAGCGCCCCCTTGAAAATATGAAAGTGACAACAAAACATTTGAAAATGGACACACACACACGTCCTTCTGACCTGCTGAACAAAATGTGGGACTGTGTGTTTTGATGCTCACCTGACATTATGTGACACACTGTTTCTTTTTAAAGGCCATGTGCACGTGAGCAAATGCTTCCTCCTGTTGTAAAACTGTTCTTGGTGCTGGTTAGCTTTGCGCCGCAGTATCAAAGAAGCAACAGCAGCATCGTAATAAAGAAGTAACAGCTCTGTCCTCAAATGTGAAAGTGTCATCTCAAAATATCAGTGAAGTAAGGAGGGAGTCTGACGAGCTCTTGTTCTCTGAGCGGGCTGTTTGTTATTGTAGGTATTTCTACATGTATGCAGTGTCTGAAACTATTTATTTTTGTATAAACTACATTTTAAGGGCATATATTTTTGATTAAAGAGTTAATGATCCCCTCCTTGCTCTATAGTTCTAAGTGTCTTACACTGACTTTAGGCTTATACCATTTGAATGTGCTCAGGTGCTCTGTTATTTCCATTGTGACAATGAATGACTTTGTTTTTATCTTAGATTAATATGGAATTATGGTAATATTAACAACCACAGTTATATTTAACAGTGCTGCTGGTACAAAAAATACTCACATTTTACTCAGACGTAATTAAACAAAACAAAACTTACTTTAAGTAAAAAATGAGTTCTGTGCTGTAAGCTGTTCATTCACCTTTGACTTTCTTGTTGCTGTTGCATCCCTTCAGTGAGATCTTCCATCCACTACTGTGCTGAAGAACAGTCCTGGACCAGTCCAGAGCAATGGTGAGTCAGAATAATGCAATTTATAAAACTGTCTTTCTTGGTGCATTCAAATAATCCATTGTAGATTAGATGTGTTACTCACATGGACACACACGTCCTTGTCTTCATCACTACTAAACAAAACTACAGGGAGTAAGGTCATTGTTTATTACTGATAATATCAATGCTGTGGTGTTGAATATTTTGAAATATTTATGAATTTACAGGAACACATACAACATGTGGTCACAAAACTCACTGAAGATGCTTCTCTGATCTGTATGTCAAGAAAAAAATTGATCTATAGCAATGCAATAATATCACTGGAGTAAAAATAACACTTAATGCCTCCACCCATCACAGCTCGACTTATTTAGTTACTTCTATGTTGGTATAAGACAAAGTCATATTTGTTGAAACATTTTTGTTTCGCTTGTTTTTGTTGATATTGGGGTTGGAACAGAACACAGCTAATGAAACACATATGTGTCACAAAACATGACACGATGTTCAAGTCTTATCTGCTCTTATAGTGTCTAATTTCAGATTATATGGGTCAAATTAATCAGATATATTCTTATACACAAAATATTCTGTTTGAATATGTGTGTTCATTTCATAACTGAAATAAAATGATCACATTTGGTTTTGTGTCATATTTAATCACACACTCTTGTACTTGTAATGGTTCATTGACATTGCATAAGTGAAGTGAATATAAATAGTAGTGAAAAATCATTAATAAAACAATCTGATATATCCAGGGTTAAGAATAATTCCTCTTTGCACATGACAAACACCTAGAATGGACAGGTACTGTGATGGTGGAAGAACTAGAATATGTCATAAACACGTCTTCAACAAGTGTTTAGTTTATTCAGTGTGGGAAATTTGAGAAGTATTTTCACACAGTCAGTTCATCATTTAAAATGTCCCTGGTAAATCATTTTATTATTTTTGCCGTGTTAAACCAAGAGCAAAATCACATGGACAACGTGGGCAGCAGTGCACTTTCCGTCCATCTTAAAATAGCTGCACAAAAAAGCAACCGGATGCTAATAAGTCAAGTTCCAGTCGAAAATGAGGAAGTTATTATTTTCTGTATGTGAAGTGACTGTGACCTTATGAATGTTATAAAGTGATTGTACAAGTGACTGTACTGTATCATGTAGTATTATGTTTTATGTTTATGGACTTTGCACTTTACACTCAAGATAAAGTTCCACTGGTGGGACAATAAATCTTATTTTATAATTTGCTATTCACTTGCCAAAATGAATTACAAACTTTATAGGATCAATTTAAACAGATATGAAGCCTGCATGAGAGACACTCGAGGGACGTTGCACTGTCACTATCACAGGTTAAATTCCCAATACAAACTTCAAAATAATCTAATCTAATAATCTAGTCTAATTTTTACAATTCCCTAAAGACCTTTTTGGTTGAAACACGTAGGCATCTCCTTTTGTAATAATCAGTGCAACTTTTTCCAGGCAAGTTTTGGCTCTTGCTTAAGAATGTAACTCAGAATTTACACCAGGAACATCAGCAACATGTAACACAGACAAAGCTGCATACACACAATCATTTAAAAGCTTCAAATTAGACGCAGCAGAGCTGCTCCTGTGACGCCGGCCTCTGTGTATTCTCACATTTAAACACTAAACTTTTTATATTGCTTCTGTATTCATTGCTGATTGGATGAATTATGTTTAAAATCACAAAACAGACGTTGACAACAAGAGACACGATGCAGCAAGTCGTATCTGCGGCACTCGCATTGATGAAGCTGCTCATCATTTCACTTTGGTCGTCTGCTTTATTTTGGCACCAAGTGTTTATTTCCTGTCTTGTCCCTGATAAAAGTCTGGAGACGCTCTGATGCTGAAAAATCAGAACTCCAACTTCATTTGAGCGGCGTGTAGCGTAATGATGGTTACTGGACGTGTGAATGACACTGCTGCTGTACACTGTCCGACCGCTTAAAATGGAAAGCGATGCCTGTGTGTTTGCTGCGCGTGTGCTGTGCTGCTGCACTTACGCTGTTACTGCTTTGGTGTAAATTGGGGTAAGTTTACAGCCTGAGACAACACAAACAAACCTCGACTGACTAGTTTAACTCTGTCCCACAGTGAATTGAATAAACTACATGACTCTGTTTGTGTTGGTGTTTTGTTCTTGGGCTGAACCAGTTTCTGTCTTAGTGTGTTGTTTGGTTTAAATACAGATGAGTGTTTTGTTGGCTGAAGATCCTTTGTAGTTTTTCAGACAGACCCGACACATATGGGACAGACACAGCCTGTTCTTCTGGGTTCTGTTTCTTTTTGTTCATCTTTTTGGCTTCTTGAGTGTTCATGTGAGGTATCCACAGGCTGACGCTGCATGTTTCTCTTCTTTTCCTCTTGTGTTCTGTGTTGAAGCTTCCTGAAAACTCCCAGTTTATGCTGCAGGTGCATTTGTGTCAAAGAGCAGCTACTGGTCTGTGTGTGCAGATTTACAAAGATGAGTTTTAAACAGTACCATTTTTTTTAAGCAGATGCATTTTTAAAAACGTATTAAAACATGTAGAGACGGTTCAGTGGTGCTCATCTCTTTGTGCAATTGAGACATTTCAGCTTCCATCCAGAAGCTCCAGATCCAACCATCTCTACATCAAACCCCTGCTGGACAAATGAGGAACTACACTGTCTTTATTAACACAAGTTTTTTGTTTTTGTTTTTTTTTGGATATCTTTCAGTTTCCAGTCCTCAAAGAGAGGAACAAAGGACTGATCTGCTGAAGAGAACACAAATGTAAGAATTCTATTATGAATAGGCCTGTCATGATAATACATTTTGAAGAATATTGCTGAAGAAATTATAGATGATAAAAAATAATATTGAAACTATTTTATGCCACTGACACAATTACAGGTTAGAACCACAAAAACTGTTGTAAAACTACAACATTGTTCAAAAATCCACAAATAAACAGCAGAAAGAAACACTTGAGTATTTAGTTTGCATCTGTAATGAGCCATAGAAGTTAATAATAATTTATTGATAATTATTGTTTTTTTTCACTCAGGAAAAAACAAAACAAAAAGAAGATGGCAGATGAAGGGACAAGAGAAGAGGGCCAAGATTGTAAAGGTAACATCAGTTAAACAAACATTGTATAGTGTTTTACAACAGCAACAACTGAACCAACGTGTTTCCATCAGAGCATTGAAAGATGTAAAAACAAGTCCAAGTTTTCTAGAAAGCAACAGAAACACAACAACAGTGACAAAAGTGAACACATACGTCTTCAGCTTGGCTTTGAACAGAGACACTCTTGACCAAGACTCCAGAGACAAAGACTTCCAAAGTTTAGGACTGGACTCACCAAATGAACGGTCACCCCACTGTTTGCTTTTGGTCCAGGGGCCTGTGACAGGTGCAGAGCGCTGTGCCCTGTTAGTGACACATACTCTGATAGAAATATAACTGCTCTACATTTAACATATCTTCTGATTTACAAACAAAGCAGTTCTTGAAGATCACTTTTACAAAGCACCCAGAGATCCACCCTCAAATGGACGAGCTTTATCTAAACTCTATATAACCTCTATTCATTTATATAGTTCCAGAGACGCCTGGATCATCATCCTCTAATGACTCAGATCAAACTGACTCTCCCACCTCCTCCAGCCAGAAGAACGAGGATCAGAGGGAAGCTCAAAGAGGACCTCTGGAACCTCCGTCAGGTGAGTCACCACTATACTAAGAATAACTTTGGACATAGTGTTGTAAATGTGTGTGTAAAATGGACATTGATTTTTTCACATTTTCATGTGCACAAATGTAACATGTATTATTAATGCTTTTGTACAGAAGATGCTGCTTTACAGAAAAGTCCAGAGAATGAGGCCACACAGCGAGAGGGTTCTACAACCAACTCTTGTGAAGAGACAGGTATGTTATTCACAGGAGACATGTGCTTTTGTGCTCTTTAATAATTAACTCTAACATAAATAGATCCTTATTTTACAATGTGTTCATTGTTAAATAGAAATTTTGCATTTATTGACATGAAGCCTAAGGCAAGAAGCCAAAGTTGCCTCAGAGCAATGTCTGTGACAGAAAAACAGTTAAATGTGTGCAGAGATTCAGCCAGATTTTTGTCTGAGCACATAAACACTGCCAAACAACTGAAGAAAGGATGGATCCGTGCGCGGCTGTCACCTGGCGGCAGCGCACAGTGATATGAACGGAGAGAAGCGATTATGAGGTCTGATTTTTTCATTGACAAAGGTTTTGTGATGCAAATGTATCACTCTTTTGAACACATATTTTGAGAAGAAAAACGCTTTATTTTCGTGACCTCAGCCAACTTGACGGATTAATTTAGTCAGCACCAAAACCGGCCAGTATTGGGGGTAAATCAGTGTGGATGCACGACACTGCTGATGGGGATGCCATACAGATTCATGTCAAAAACCCCAAACTATCCCTTTAACAGTAATATAGATCTAAACCTGGTTAATATAAGATAATTTGTTCCATCAGATTAACCATTTTAAATACCTCTGAATTTCTCTGTGAAAAACTGTAAAAAAAAAAAAAAAACAGCTGAAAAAAAATGTAATTCTGTCAATTGGACAAAAATTCAGAGTGAAGACCTTTTGCCGCTCATTCAAGCTGCTTCTTCAGTTGTGGTCAGACGCTGGTGGATACTGCCTCATATCTGCCTGAAGGGGGCGCTCACTACACTATAACTAACACACCTGTATTGAAATTTAATGCTAGGGGGCAGACTACTGCTACACGGTTTAGCAGTAACAGAAGATTTGTTCTTTATGGAGCCTGAGATATGAGTGAATAAGAGACACCAGACAGTATTTTGAGTTTTTGTGTTACGTTTACTACAATGAAGACAAAGAAGAACACTCCTCCCTGAACTGCCACCTTACCGTGGTGGGGGAGTTTGTGTCCCTGAATGATCCTAGGAGCTATGGTGCTTTTCCCATCACGTTTATGAATTAAACCTGGTGGCTGGGCTTTTACCAACAGGGCCTGGGCAGGCTTAGCCTGAAAGGACAATGTGGGTCAACCCTCCTGTGGGCTCACCACCCTCAGATGGTCTCATGGGGGTTGGGTGCTCAGAGAACTAGGCGGTGGTTGAAGACAGGTGTCTCGAAGACCCAGCCCATGGACATGGCATCACCTCACTAGGGGGGAAGAAGCCTGAGCTTGTGCAGGAGGTTGAGAGGTAACAACTAGATATAGCCTGCAGGGAGCAGTGCCGAGCTGGGTTGGGCTCATTGCCCCAAAGCTCAGCCGCCATGTGTTGGAGTTCACCTTGGGGAAAGAGAGGCAGACAAGGGACAGGTCTCTCACTGTTGTGTCTACAGCCTACAGGCCGAACAGCAGTACGGAGTACCCAGCCTTCTGCCAGGCCCTGGGAGGGGTACTAGACAGTGCACTGACAGGGGACTCCGTTGTTCTACGTGGGCAACGACAGTGACACTTGGAGAGGGGTGATTGGGAGGAACGGCCTCCCTGATCTGAACCCGAGTGGTGTTTTGTTATTGGACTTCTGTGCTAGTCACGGTTTGTCCATAACGAACACCGTGTTCGAGCACAAGGTCCATAAGTGCACGTGGCACCAGGACACCCTAGGCCGGAGGTCGATGATCAACTTTGTAGTCATGTCATGTGACCTCCGGCCGCGTGTCTTGGACACTCGGGTGAAGAGAGGGACTGAGCTGTCAACTGATCACCACCTGGTTGTGAGTTGGGTTCGCTGGCGGAGGAGGAAGCCGGAAAGACCTGGCAGGCCTAAGGGTGTAGTGAGGGTCTGTTGGGAATGTCTGACGGAGCCTCTGTCAGAGGGACCTTCAACTCGCACCTCTGGGAGGACTTCTCACAGATTCCAGGGGGAGTCTGGAGATATGGAGTCTGAGTGGGCTTCATTCTCGGCCTCTATTGTCAATGCGACCACTTGTTGCTGTGGGTGTAAGGTCTGTGGTGCCTGTCACGATGGCAGTCCCCAAACCCAGTGGAAATAAGGGATGCCGTCAGGCTGAAGAAGGAGTCCTATTGGGCCTTGTTGGCTCATGGGACTCCTGAGGCAGCTGACGGGTACCAGCGGGCCAAGCGTGCTGCAGCCTGTACAGTATCTGGATGTTGTGGGTCTGTCTTGGCTGAAGCATCTCTGCAATATCACATGGCGATGGTCTGTTCCAGGAGACTGGAGAATCCGGCTGATAGTTGAACCTCAAATTCAGGAGGAGCAGTGTGGTTTTGGTCCTGGTCGTGGAACACTGGACCAGCTCTACACTCTCCATCGGTGCTCGAGGTTCATGGGAGTTTGCATAGTCCACATGTGCTTTGTGGATCTGGAGAAGGCATTGGACTGTGTCCCTCGTGGGGGGGGGGGGGCTCTGGGAGTCTGGTCCCTGTGTGACCGGAGCAGGAGCTGTGTTCACATTGCCGGCAGTAAGTCAGACCTGTTCCCAGTGCATGTTGGACTCCGCCAGGGCTGCCCTTTGTCACTGGTTCTGTTCATTGTATTTATGGACAGAATTTCTAGGCGCAGTCAGGGGCCGGAGGGGGGCCGGTTCGGAGACCACAGGATCATCTCTGCTGTTTGCAGACGATGTCATCCTGTCGTCTTCATCAGACCAGGACCTGCAGCTCTGGGGCGGTTTGACCCGAGTGTGAAGCGTCTGGGATGAGGATCAGGTCCTCCAAATCCGAGGTCGTGGTTCTGGAAAAAGCATCTTGTCGTCTCCAGGTGGGTGGAGAGTCTCTGCCTTAAGTACAGGAGTTCAAGTCTGTCGGGGTCTTGTTCTTGAGTGAGGGGAGGATGGAACATGAGATTGACAGGTGGACAGGTGCAGTGTGGGCAGTGATGCAGTCGCTGTATCGGACCGTTGTGATGAAGAGGAGCTGAGTTGGTATTTAGCATCAGTCTCCATTCCTCCCCTCACCTTGGGTCATGAGCTCTGGGTAATGACTGTTGAGAGGAGCCAGCTGAGGTTGCTTGAGCATCTGTTCTGTTGCCTCCTGGACGCCTCCCTGGGAAGGTGGTCCAGGCATGTCCCACTGGGAAGAGGCCCTGATGAAGACCCAGGACACGCTGGAGGTCCCCCCAGAAGAGTTGGAAGAAGTGTGTGTGAAGAGGGAAATCTGGGAATCTCTGTTCAGACTGCTGCTCCCATGACCCAGCCCCAGATAAAGCAGAATAAAATGGATGGATGATTGGATGGACAAAGAACATAAAGACAAGAAGAACAAAATATGATATTGGTTGTGTATCAGTTAGGAGGGAAACAAGCAGTCCAGTGGTTGCAGTTTGTGCATGTAGTCTAACGATGATGCACTTGGTCCTGATAGTCAATTTAATCCTTGATAATATTAATAATATATAATAGATAATATTGAATCCATGTTGAATGTATTTAAGGTATTGAATCCACGATAAAGTATTGAATCCAGCTTTTATTTGGAAAAAAAGTAGTCTTTCTCTACCATATCAGGGTGTATTTATTTAAGTCAAATGATGTAGTTTCACTTTTCATGACTGAGTGATGTATTAGTCCATTAAAAAAAAAAAAAAAGTATAATTTAAATAAAAGTAAGTTACTAGGTCTTATAGTAACCCAATATAAATTCAATGTATGCAGAAACATACAAGCATCAAATATAAGTGAATAATTCATATTCAAATAATTATCATATTCAAAATATAAACTCAGTTAATTAATCATTAATCAAATTACACATTAATACACAATTAAATGTAGTGAGTGATCAATGACCCAAAAGTTCAGTAAGGTTCCCATACATCAGGGCTAAGCATTTGAATAATATATCAAAAATACAATTAAACATTAAATCAGTAAGTAAATAAACAAATAAATAAATATGTTAGTAAATAAGTGTACTTGAATTGGTTTTGTAGTCAAAAAGTTATCAAACCTGCTGCAGAGGTCGATATCAACTCAAAATACTGTGCAATATCATTATATTAAAGTACAATACTACTACACTTAATTCAGTAGTAAACAAACTCCATCAGAGTTTGAGGAAAGACTAGAAAAAATGCTAAAACAGCATGATTTAATTAATGTTGTGGAAGACAAAATTAGTGACTAAATAAATGTATCTGTTGACTACATTTCAGCTTTTTCTTGTTATAAAATAAAAATAATCCATCCATCCATTTTCTTCCGCTTATCCGGGGCCGGGTCGCGGGGGCAGCAGTCGAAGCAGGGACTCCCAGACTTCCTTCACCCAAGACATGTCCTCCAGCTCCTCCGGGGGGACCCCGAGGTGTTCCCAGGCCAGCTGAGAGACATAGTCCCTCCAGCGTGTCCTGGGTCTTCCCCGGGGCCTCCTCCCGGTGGGACATGCCCAGAACACCTCCCGAGGGAGACGACCCAGGAGGCATCCGGAACAGATGCCCGAGCCTCAACTGGCTCCTCTCGACGTGGAGGAGCAGCGGCTCTACTCCGAGCTCCTCCCGTGTGACTGAGCTCCTCACTCTGTCTCTAAGGGAGACGCCCAGCCACCCTGCGGAGGAAACTCATTTCGAGCGCTTGTATCCGCGATCTTGTCCTTTCGGTCACTACCCAGAGCTCATGACCAGAGGTGAGAGGAGGAACGAAGACTGACCGGTAAATCGAGAGCTTCGCCTTTCGGCTCAGCTCCTCTTCACCACAACGGTCCGATACAGCGACCGCATCACTGCAGACGCTGCACCTGTCCACCTGTCAATCTCACGCTCCGTCCTTCCCTCACTCGTGAACAAGACCCCGAGATACTTGAACTCCTCCACTTGAGGCAAAGACTCCCCACCACCCGGAGAGGGCAAGACGACTTTTTCTGGTCGCTTCACACTCGGCTGCAAACCGCCCCAGTGCACATTGCAGGTCCTGGTTCAATGAAGCCAACAGGACAACATCATCCGCAAACAGCAGAAATGATCCTGTGGTCCCCAAACTGGACCCCCTCCGGCCCCTGACTGCACCTAGAAATTCTGTCCATAAAAACAATTAACAGAACCGGTGACAAAGGGCAGCCCTGGCGGAGTCCAACATGCACCGGGAACAGGTCTGACTTACTGCCGGCAATGAACACAGCTCCTGCTCCGGTCATACAGGAACCGGACAGCCCTTAGCAAAGGGCCCCGGACCCCATACTCCCAGAGCACCCCCCACAGGACACCACGAGGGACACGGTCGAATGTCTTCTCCAGATCCACAAAGCACATATGGACTGTGCAAACTCTCATGAACCCTTGAGCGCCCGATGGAGAGTGTAGAGCTGGTCCAGTGTTCCACGACCAGGACCAAAACCACACTGCTCCTCCTGGATCCGAGGTTCAACTATCTGCCGGATTCTCCTCTCCAGTCCCCTGGCATAGACCTTACCGGGAAGGCTGAGGAGTGTGATCCCCTATAGTTGGAACACACCCTCCGGTCCCCCTTCTTATACAGAGGGACCACCACCCCGGTTTGCCAGTCCAGAGGTTCTGTCCCTGACCGCCACGCGATGTTGAAGAGGCGTGTCAGCCAAGACCCACAACATCCAGAGACTTAAGGTACTCAGGACGGATCTCATCCAACCCTGGAGACACCGAGGAGCTTTCCAACCACCTCAGTGACTTCGGCCAGGGTGATGGATGAGTCCGCCTCCGAGTCCCCAGCCTCGGCCTCCTCCTCGGAAGACGTGACGGTGGGATTGAGGAGATCCTCAAAGTTTTCCTTCCACCGCCGGACAACGTCCCCAGTCGAGGTCAGCAGCTCTCCCCCCGCACTGTAAACAGTGTTGGTGAAGAACTTCTTCCCCCTCCTGAGGCGCCGGACGGTTTGCCAGAATCTCTTTGAGGCCGTCCGATAGTCCTTCTCCATGGCCTCCCCGAACTCTCCCAGCTCCGAGTTTTTGCCTCTGTGACCGCACGGGCTGCAGCACGCTTGGCCCGCCGGTATCCGTCAGCTGCCTCAGGAGTCCCCCGAGCCAGCAAGGCCCGACAGGACTCCTTCTTCAGCTTGACGGCATCCCTTACTTCCGGTGTTCGGGGATTGCCACCGCAACAGGCACCACAGACCTTACGCCCACAGCTCCGAGCAGCCGCATCAACAATAGAAGCAGAGAATGAAGCCCACTCGGACTCCATATCTCCGGCCTCCCCCAAGGTGCGAGTTGAAAGTCCCTCTGACAGAGGCTCCGTCAGACGTTCCCAACAGACCCTCACTACACGCTTGGGTCTGCCAGGTCTTTCCAGTTTCCTCCACCACCAGCGAACCCAACTCACAACCAGGTGGTGATCAGTTGACAGCTCAGCCCCTCTCTTCACCCGAGTGTCCAAGACACGCGGCCGGAGGTCAGATGACACAACAACAAAGTTGATCATCGACCTCCGGCCTAGGGTGTCCTGGTGCCACGTGCACTTATGGACACCCTTGTGCTCGAACATGGTGTTGGTTATGGACAAACTGTGACTAGCACAGAAGTCCAATAACAGAACACGGCTCGGGTTCAGATCGGGGAGGCCGTTCCTCCCAATCACCCCTCTCCAAGTGTCACTGTCGTTGACGTGGGCGTTGAAGTCCCCCAGGAGAACAACGGTGCAATAAAAATAATGCACCTTTGAATTTTGGACTGAATTAGAAATGAGGGCAGAGCGGAAACTAACCTGCTACAATAAAAGTGGCCTCACACACCAGAATGTTTCATGACTGAGGCCCATTGTTCTAAGATAAACCATTTAAACATGAATAATGATCTATATATTTCCATGTTCTATGTTTTTTCTAGATGGTACTATGGAAGATGAGCCAACAAAGGTAACATCATTTATTTTAAATATAATTTATAACCAAGGTTTGCATTCTACAAGTTATAATAGGTAAAATTGTGTTTACATATTTTTCAGAACTCTGTGATGGATCCAATCAGGAAACAGAAAACTGAAGACCTGTTGATCAGACTCCACCTGCTGGAGAGACGTGAGAATAACCTGACCCCTGCAGAGTTTCTTCAGATTCATCAAACTAAAGAACACGACCAAGACTTATGTGAGGCTGATCTGTCCTCTGTTTATCTGCACAAACTGTTGATGTTAGACTACAGGGCCAGATATATTCAGACCAAACAGAAAAGCACAAATGAAACAGGCCCACGTGAACAGAATGGCATAGAGCAATTGTTTGACACTGCTGAGGATGAAACCTCATCAGAACAGACCCACATCCACCCTCTGGACGTCCAGATGGCAGTGTTCCACTGCTCAGACTCTTTTCTAAAGCAGAAGATGGTCACAAAGCTGTCCCAGTGTCAGTACGCCTTACCTCTGCTGGTGCCTGACCCATTCACTGGACACATCCAGTGTCCTCTGTGGACGTTCAGACAGATCCAAAAAACATGGAGGAAAACTGAAACCAAAGACAATTCAAATGTTGTGATGATGAAGTCAATGCCCATCTGCAAAGCAGAGACCCCCATGGTGTTCTGTTTCCGCCTGGGCTCTCTGTCTGTGTCCAAATCTCAGTTCATCAACACTTTGATCAATGACCGCCACAGCACCTTCTTCCACAGAAACTGCCCCGGCAGCTCCAAAAGTCGACTTCTGTTTGAGGAGGTAGCAGAGATCGCCTGGTACTGCCCGGCTGGAAAACCCAACGACAGCTTCAGTGACTGTGTGGCCTTCTGCAACCTTCATGGAGATGGTCTGAGTCACGACCAACAGCTGAACATACTGATGGAAAAGTCCTCGGTCAATGTGGTTTTTGTGCAGAAAATGGATCGAACTCATCAAAGTGCTGAAGTGATCATACGTTTTATGGAGTCTCCAAAACCTCTAATTGTTTTAATAGGAAACAGCAGCAAAACTGCACTGTTAAAGGATGGGAAATATAAAGTTGGTCTTAAAGAGACAGAAGCCAGTCAGATGTGTCTGAGGAGCTGAAGAGAATCATCAAAGACATTTTATCTGCTCCACACAAGTCCTTTCAGCTCAAGTCCTTTCAGCTTGAGTCCATGTTTGACACTGGATTCAGAGTGGATGAAAATAATCCCAGCTGCACTAAAGGTTTTTCCTTTGCCAAAGAAATTATAAAGATAATTGAGCCCATAAAAGAATCTGATATTAAAAAGACATTTCTCCCCTGTCAAGGCCAAACGTGGCATGACTGGTGCAGAATAAACAAAGAACTGTATCGACTCAAAGGAAATGTGGAAATGGAAAAGAGCAGAAAGCAGGAAGAGCAGCAGAGACTAAGAGAAGAACAGTGCAAAGTCTCCTGTAGTGAACTGATGAAGTCTTTTATCACACACCTCTCGACTTCAGATCCAACAGAGAGAGAATATTTCCTCAAATGGACTCAGATCTTACTGGATGCTCATGCTGAAGGTTCTTTGTCTTTGATTCTACAAAAATATGATCAGAAGTGGTCTGAGGTTTTGGACCTAAAGAAGAAACTTGACAAATCTGATGAGTTAAAGTCCAAACAAGCAGAACTTGCAAAACTCTCAAAGGACCTTCAGTCTGCGACCTGTGGCCTGGAGCACATCTTCAGAGAAATGGCTCAGATCTATGAAGCCCATAAGAGTCTGAATAAACCTCCTGAAGAGAAGTGGACTGACTGGTCCAAATACCCAGCGCTGGCTGCAGAGCTGATGATTTCAGGACACCCAATGGAGCTGATGGATGGAGACGCAGGCCACGTCCCTTTAACCTGGATCTCAGGTGTTATTGATCAGCTCATCCTCAGACTGGGAGATAAGAGGGTCTTTGTGTTGTCAGTTCTGGGCATACAGAGCAGTGGGAAGTCCACGATGCTGAACGCCATGTTTGGTCTTGAGTTTGCAGTCAGTGCAGGCAGATGCACCAGAGGAGCCTTCATGCAGCTGGTAAAACTGTCTGAAGAAATGAAGAAAGGTTTTGAGTGGGACTACATCCTGGTGGTGGACACTGAGGGGCTGCGAGCTCTGGAGTTAGAAGGAAATTCAACGATTCACCACGACAATGAACTGGCAACATTTGTGGTTGGTGTTGGGAACATGACTCTGGTGAACATCTTTGGAGAGAATCCTTCTGACATGCAGGACGTTCTGCAGGTTGTGGTTCAGGTTTTCATGAGGATGAAGAAAGTTAAACTGTCTCCAAGTTGTGTGTTTGTTCACCAGAACGTCTCAGACGTCAACGCCACAGAGAAAAACATGGATGGAAAACGAAAACTGCAGGACAAACTGGACAAGATGGTAGAACTTGCAGCCAAAGAAGAAGTTTGTGATGCTGAAAATTTCAGTGACATCATTGAGTTTGATGTTCAAAAAGATGTGAAGTACTTTGCTCAGCTGTGGGAGGGAAGTCCTCCAATGGCTCCTCCAAATCCAAGCTATAGTGAAAGTGTCCAAGATCTGAGGAGCTTCATTCTCTCCAAAGCCTCAAAGTCTCCTGGTGTCACTCTCTCTGATTTCAAAACTAACATTCATGATCTTTGGAACGCACTTTTAAATGAGAACTTTGAGTTCAGCTTCAAAAACTCTCTTGAGATCGCTGTTTACAGAAAACTGGAGGTTGAATATGGAAACTGGACTTGGGTTTTGAGGCAGGAAATGTTGAACACTGAAGAAAAACTTCATCTAAAAATTACAAATGGAACTATTGACCAGGTTAACCTCAGTTTTCTTTATGAAGAAGTGAGAGAGAAATATGATGAAATCAAGAAGTCCATGTCAGAATACTTTGAGAATGACAAAGACAAAGAAATGTTAATTCAGTGGCGTGGACAACATGAACTTAAAATAAACACTTTTCATGATGAACTGGTTCAAGGACTTCAGAGAAAACTGAATAATGTTTTTGAACAGAAGAAAGCAAGTAAAGAGTTTGACGAGAGGAAAACTGTGTTTGAGGAAAAACTCTTACAAAAAGCAAAGAGCTGACGCAAAAACTCAGAGGCAAAACACAAAATGATCAAGAACTGCAAAATCAGTTTGACCAATTTTGGAAAGGTTTAGTTTCTGAAGTAACACAAGGAGTAAAACCTGCTGAGAAGATAAACCTGGAAGAGGATCAGATCAGAGTCATTCATGAGCTCGGTTTTGAAATGGATTTAATCAAGTCAAGAAAAGGTTTACAACTCTACAAAGGTTTTTCTGAATGTGGAGATTATACTGATTATGTTGTCCAGAAGCGCAAAAAAAGAGGATTCAAAGAGACTTTGGTTAAAACAAAAGAAAAAGTTCAATACCTTTCAGGTCGCCTTCCACAGGAGCAGCAGATGGAGATGGAAAATCTCATTATAAGTGTTGAAAAACAGGCCTCAGAACAAATAAAGAACAAACCTGTAGCAGAGAGAGGCTACAGTTCAACTTACCTGAGGGAAATGAGCATAAATGTAAAAAAATCTATCGACAAATTTGAATCAGAAAGGAAATTCCTTCTCCTGAAAGAGTTTAAAGTGGATCTGATTCTGTACGTGTTTTACAGGACACAAAAGTGGATCTCAGACTCTCATTCTCAGTTCATCAAAAACAATGATGCTCACACATATTTGGAGAGTAAGAAAGATGAATACTACAGCGTGTTCAAGAGTTTCTGTAAAGGAAGTTCCTCAGCTGTGGTTCTCACTGAATTAATCTGTAACAAACTCAAAGTCTCTATGACAGAGGCTGTGATTAACCAGACAGCGATCGATATAGCTGGAGAACTCAAATGTAATGTCCCAGCATTCAAAGAGAACCGAGTCAACCTGGAGAAACATCTGCTCAAGTCACTGGCACAAAAGAGAGAATTTCATAGATACATTACCTACATAAAGGACCCCAGGTCATACACAGAGACTTTTATCAGAGAAGAAGTACAAACACAACTCTTACAAACACAGTACAAGGAGAAATGCCAAAGTTTCTTTGAGGTGAACATCTCAAACCTCCAAATTCACATAGTCCAAGCTCTTCATGAAGTGTCAAAAAAAAACAAAGAGCAGAACAGAGACATCTCCCAGTGGCTTCAGGAGTTTGTACAATCCATAAAAGACAAACTGACATTTGGAACAATTTTGTATGAAAACTTTAGTGATGTAACAAACTTAGACTTTCTGAAAGAAGAAATAGAGAAAGGGCTAAATTCCATTTGCACTGATCTTAAAACATTATCAGTGGACGAGTTAAATGAGTCGAGACAGAAGCCAGACCAGATCCTGATCGATCAGCTGTGTGACTGCTGCTGGGAGACATGTCCGTTCTGTGCTGCAGTTTGTACAAACACAGTCAAAGATCACAAAAGTGCTAAAGAAGGTGGGATTGACCACAGTGTTCCTTTTCATCGATCTGGTTCCATCAGAGGTTGGCACTACAAAGACACAGTGGAGATGGGTTTGTCGTTCTGCACAACAAAAGTAGCAGGTGATGGCTCTTTTTACCCTGATGATTCAGACAGACTTGTGCCTTACAAAACATATCGTTCTGCTGGTTCTCCTCATGACACATGGAGCATCACCCCTGATCAGTTTAAACTGTCATATTGGCAGTGGGTCGTGTGCACATTTAAAGAAGAACTGGAAAAACACTATAATTTAAAATATAAAGGTCGTGGTAAAATCCCAGACGATTGGAAAAACATCAGTTATGAAGAGGCAATAAAAAGTCTGGAGGAAATGTACAAATAGACACAGAACAAAAACAGAACACAGCATGAAACAAGATCATTATGTTTTAATTAATAAGAGTAACACAAGTGAAAAAGAGTTAAACCATAGTAAGACTACAGAGAAGTGATAAGTGAAGAAAAACAATGAGAGAGTAACACATATTTTATCTGTTTTGTTTTGTTTTGAAAAGATCAAAATGTTATGAAATCGGACATTTACATAATTCCAGGGTTTAATACAAAAGAATACTGCTGAGACGGGGGGGATCTATATCAATATAACATAATATGAAGTGATTTAAAATTACAATAGAAAGGAATGTTGTGAAATGCCTTTCAGTAACAAAATGATCATATGAAATGAATAATGTTATTAAAATGACAATAAATAGAAAATGTGTGGTTCCTTATTATAACCATTGCTCTGTATGACAATATTGTTCTCATTTGTAATCAGTTCTATTGACCCTTTAAAAGTTTGTCAACAAATATATTTAAAATTCTGAACAGAGGGGTACGGTCAAGTGTTAACGGAGGAAACAGGCAGATGTTTGACATTCAAATGTCTCTTATTCAGAAACTAGAGGAACTATTGAAATAAGTAAAGTATCAGAATGTAGGAAAGAGTTACACTCCAACAGGGTCAAGTTAAACCTGTGAGATTCTTTCAAGTTCAAGACAAAAAATTTTTAAACTCATGTTGGTAACGGAGGGAATGAAATACAATAAATCCAAACAGTGATAACTCTTGGTTCTCACTTCCATATCCTTAACAAACTGGTTTGAATATTTGCTTCATATAGTTTTCTACCATATGGTACAAGATTAGGTTGAAAAACCTCTGACTTTTTGAGTCATGAGATTTTTTATGAAGAAAGTTCATGGTAACGGAGGGAAAAGTAACGGAGGGAAAATTGTACAAACAAGTAGAAGGTGCAGGATTTTACATCATTTGTGGCTTTTTTCTTCCGAATACTTTAATATTACTTCAAAATTAAAAGAAACTATTTCTATTAAATATGTCAGTCCTTCCAAGCAAATTTTTATCATTTTAAATACTTTTTTTTTTTTTTTAAATCCTGTCCCTTCATCAACAGTTCAAAGATGGAATAACACAAGATATGATGAAATACAAACATTTATTTACATGATTAACTTTTCCTTAAGAACCAATATTTATATATGAACTGCTTCTCAGCAGGGGTAAGAGCCATCATCAATACTAAAAATTTGGCTGAAATTTTTTCAACAAAATGTGGCTAACCACACCACCACAGAATGCTAAATGACACTCACAGAATATCACAAGGCGAAATAGAGGTTGGAAGAGATGACAGGGACGCCCCTGTCTCGATGCCAACAAGAAGGAAAGAGGAAGACGTAGTGGCTTCAACACCTCACACCTGCACATGGTTACCATGGCTACGAGATGATTAGTCAGTTCCCAATGCTCGTCATGTCGATTCAAACACTGTCAAGGTTATATAATCAATCAAAACAACAAACTGCAAACTTGAAACATAAATTTATTCATGATATTAAACTATACTTGCTACTCATTTCAAAGACTTGACTCATGTTTTTAATATCTGAGTTTATTCTCAAAATATTGTATATTTATACAGATAATGCTAAAAAAGAGACCACCTTAACCTAATACAAAACCATAATTATGAAAACAATACACTATGTCTGGAATAATTCAGGGAGAATGCAGTAGAAAGTGTTTACTATATGAACTGTTTTCCCTCTGTTACCTTTGCCAGTAACGGAGGGAAAAAATATGATAATTAATCAAAAAAAAATATGTAGAAACAGAATTCATTAGATTGCTGCAGGAAATGCTTAGTAGTATCAATATTGTTGCTTTTAGAAAGTTTCATGATGAAATATAAAGTTTAACACATGTAAAACTTTAAAAAACATCATTTTTCGATAACAGAGGGAAAATTACAATTTTTTTAGACTTGTAAAACACAGGTTTTACCAGATACTATCACTTAATAGTTTTAATTTTCATAAGTTTACTACCTAGAGATGTAGATTAGTCAAAGATGAAGCTTGAAAGTTCACCTGAAGAGGATTTGCAGGTTTTTGAAATTTGGGAAATCATTTTTGTTCAAGGCCTAAGACTTGTACCTGTGACATGGTCTGTTTAAAACGTATGTAACTTTAGAACCAAAAATGGTACCAAAGAAAGGTCAACAGTTTCATAAACTAGAGTACATATGTATCTGTTCAATACATTTTTATATCAGATGCATTAACTTGAATTTTTGGCATTGTTGTTTGTGCTTGACCGGGCCCAGAGGCAAAAGTGAAGCACAATCTGATTTGAACAAAGACACTTGGATCAACCTCAGAATATCACAAAATAGATGAACACAAAAGGAGGGTTAAACATGATGAGCCATCTCTATATGAAGCTCCAAAACAGACTATCCCTGATTTTAGGATTTACAGAGAAAAGCACTAATCTGAAGCTGGCCCTGGAATCTTTTGAACCCCTATGTGCAGCTCAGTGAGAAATACAAACATCATCTTCTTAACACCTCAAACTGCCAGAGGGTAAAATGATCTCTCGGTCCTGTCACCATCTCCCAGACGGTCACACTGCTCCCACGCTCTACAGTACGGCCAGCACCGCCAGCTCGCTCAGAGTGAGACTGCCACAATACTTCTAGATATATTAATATCCTTCTAGAGTTCTAGAGTTTTAGAGTTCTAGAGTGCATCTACTTGAAAGGATGCTGACTTCTTTAGAGGGTTTGGCAGGATATGAACTCAGCTGCTGCTCTCAACAAGTTCCCTAAATATTTAAGAGAGCTTCAGTGAGTTCCTGCATCTTCAAGGTAAACTCATACAACCTGAAAGACTTGGCTGGTTCATTGTCAAACCTTCCAGAGCCCCTCAGGTGAGAATCCAAACCCTCCTATTCCAGAGCTCTGAGCTACCAGTCAAAGAGACACCTCCTCCTCCTCCAGAACATAAATCTCTTTTAGCAATCAACAAATGGTTCAACGTCCATTTTGTTCTGTCGACGCCATGATCATTATATGACCAGGTGTTTCCTGATGAAAGCTCAGTGTAAACATGCCGTGTACACATACAAAACATCAAACGTGATGAACGTGTAACCAGGGTAAAATTCAATCCGGTTGTCCAGATCCAACCCAGGTTTTCCCCTACGCCACATGACTTGTCACCGCCCATCACCCCGCCCATTTCACCAATTATCCAATCACACTTCAGCAGACAGAGTATATAATGTCCCTTGACTTCTCTCTCCTCAGTTGTGGGAGAGAAGTCAGGGGACAGAGCTTTGAAGGTCAGTACATTTCAACCTTTCCGATTCATATTCTTATGTTTAGAACCAAACCCGATGTGGGACATTTGAATTGAAATAACACTGAACTGGTAAGTTCAAAATGAAACCCATGTTTAATTATTGATTGCTGGCTGTTGTTCCTGTTAGCATTAATGCTAGTGCTAATGCTAATGCTAGCATGCTAATGCTATCGTTAGCGGCAGTAGCTCAGTTGGTGGAGCATTCACCCACTGATCTGAAGGTTGGTGGTTCGAATCCAGCTCTCGACATAAAAAACATCACAGGTTGAGTGGTCAGATCCATGTGATCCATGTGATTCCAGCTCCCACAGATGAATGCTGTCATTGTGTCCTTGGGCAAGACACTTAACCCACCTTGCCCACAGTGTCTGCGTAGACTGGGGTGTGAATGTGTGTGTGAATGTGTGAGTGGTTCCTTGTTGTAAAGTGCTTTGAGTGTCTTGAAGGTGGAAAAGCGCTATAGAAAAATGTGACCATTTACCATTTAAAACCAATGTCAGCCATTTTGTCTGGTCCCCATATCCTGACCAGTGTAGCATGTCAATGCTAGTTAGCATTAACATGCTAGCTCTTAGCATATGCTAATATGTGCTCCACATGATTGGTTTTTCATCTTATGACAGATTGTGATTGATTTATTTACGAACTGCTGTAATGTGAACACTAATGCTAACCGTCCAACAACATTACTATGTTCTAAGAGGCTTTTTTTATGTGCACACAGGCCAGGTGCCCAAAACTGTGTTTAACCCGATGGCGAGCGAGGAACTGTCCTGTGAGGGAACCTCCAGTCTGGTAGGAGGCTAACTGTCTGTCCTCTAACTCTCCCACCTACTCAAGCTACTCCACTACTCGACTGTTCAATAATCCTGCGCTTAATGGACATTGTACCCCTCATGATAACTGATTTTGGACTATAATGTAGCTTGAATTCTGTTTTATCCACGCTGGGTAAACAGACTGGTTTCAAGGATATTTATTTAATTTTGAGTTTGGTTCATTGATTTGTTTTGCTGCAGCTTATGTACATTTCGGGTTATCTCATTTTTTTTCTGTATAATACACATTACTCATTTTCAACTAGTCCGTTGTCTTAATTTGCTGCCCTGCCCTCCTGTAGCTGTCAGCCTTGAAAATTTGTGAATGACAGCAGGTACATGCTTTGGTTGCTACAACATTCATGCTGCTGAAGCTGATTTCATTTAATTTTTACACAGCAGAAACATGTTCCCTGCTGATTGTGATAATCACGCTCCACTTTTATCAAATCAGTAAACCTGTGCTTAAAATATAAATAATCTAGGCTACATTTTACACTCTTGTGGTATGAGAGAGCCATAGACCTGACTGTGCAAATGATCTTTCTTAGTTTAAATTAAATAAATGAAAAGATCTCTGTGAATCAAAAGTGAATTTAAAAGCACAAGTCTTTTATTAGCTCATGTTTTCTTCATGGAAAATGGTATGAATTTTACCCGGTTAAGCTCCGCACTTTCTGTGGCTTCACAGACAGAAATCAGCTGTGAAGCTCGCTGTGGGGGCGGGGCTTTGGTGACGCTTCCGTGCGCTCTCTGTGGGGCACCAGTGGTAAAAACTATTGTTGTGTCCTTAGGTAAGACCCCCGCATTGCCAATGGCTCAGATTGTCAGTCTCAGGTCTGTCATTCTGCGCTATTATTATTATTATTATTAATATTATTATTATGACCATAGTGTCCATAATATCCATAACATACACACAGCTCACAAATTATAGAAATATATTTTATTTGTTTCCCACTTTACATTTTAAAAGCAAAAATCTCAAAGTTCCACAAACATGTAAGACACAGATTAGATTTAAACCTCCCCAAACCACAAAAACACTGAAAACACTTTTATACTCAAAGAAATATATTCACCAAAGAGATTTTCTGATCTATGTTCTAATGCAGTTTCCTCATCAAAAACACCTGGAGTTGTTTTTTTGTTTTGTTTCTTCTCTCAAACAGAAAACACTCTGTCCCACCTTGTGATGTCATGTGGATAAAATCATTCGGATCATTTCAGCGCCGGAATTGCTGATCTTGACTGAACTAAAAGTAAAAGGAGCTGATCACTTGAAAACCACCACTTCATGACATCACAGGGTGGGACAGAGTGTTTGGAGCTTTGGAGATGTAGACTAAAGGTCGTCACACACTACAGGACTTTTCGGCTTTAAACGAATCTTAACCATGCGACAAAAAGGAGATAAATGTGTGAGTCTGTGATGGAGTCGCTCAGAGACTCTGGCTACGTTCAGACTGCAGGTTTAACGCTCAATTCAGATTTATTTTTTTTGTGAAATCCGATGTTTTTGTGAGGTCGTTCACATTTCCAGTTAAATGTGACTTGTATGTGACTCCAGTGTGAACATTAAACGGTCCAAAAGTGTCCCACATGTGACACTGGAGACACGACGACGTCAACCGCAGCGAGCGTCTCTGTGTTTACACAAGTTGTCCAAACATGGACGCAGCATCGAGCACCTGGAGATTTTAAAGTTCCTCTCGTACCGGAGCCACAACATGAACAACTGACTTGTTTTAAGGAGGAGATTGAGAAGGAGAAGGACCAGGTTTTTGGTGGTGGTGTTTTGTGGTGAGTGGAGATGTGCTTCACTTCAGTCACATGGATCATGAACAGTTTTCTCTACTTCAGTGCAGAATAGTGACGTTTGTGTCTTGTTGATGACGTGTAGGTGGATGAATGTGACCTGACCGTTCACACTGAAGTCACATGTTAAAGATCAGATATGGATCAGTTTCAGGAGCACAGATCCAAGTGTCCTGGTCACATGTGAAAAAAATCAGATCTGTGTGGTTCAGACTGACATTAAAAGATCAGATACAGAAACATAGAGACAAAAAATCTGATTCGGGTCACTTCAGGCTGCAGTCTGAACGTAGCCTCTGAAGTGTCAAAGATCAGACTCTGCTCTTCCAGTTTAGATCCAAACTGTGTGATTATTATTCGTGAAATGTGGAGCAAAACTTCAGATGCAGGATTTTACTGCACAGGAGGCGGGAGATAAAGGGTGTTTTCCAATTAGATTTATTTTGTCTGGGGCAGATAATATTTGGGCAAGTTTCAACAGTTCAGTTTGGGCGTTTTTTGTTTTCACACGAATCACCGCAATACGCAAAAACATGATAACGCAAGGAACCGTATGAGACTTCCACTCCCGTCCAGTTTCAAGGAGGATTTTTTGGTCTGTGCACAAATGAACCGACGTCCTCTATGTTCAGACATCTCAGGGTTCAGCTGCTGCAGATTCAGTTCTTTGCTCTTTGATTCTCAGGTTAAAGGGACAGTTCAGAATTTTGGACATAGGGTCTGTTTTCCTCGTGAGCCAGAGTGTCACTTTATGAAATAATCCATCCAGTCCTTGTATTTTCAGAGGTCACTGGTGTTAGACTAGAGCATGGTCGTAGTTTATCCTGCCACTAAAAACAGTCTTACCCACTCCACAAAACACCTGAAGAAAATCTATTCTTACACCAGACGTGAACGTCTGTGTCCATAGAATAAATTTAGATGTAAAACCAACCTTGCATTTGAAGGATTTTTGTCTGAGCAGCAGCAGTGAGTTGTATCTCCTGATAAAAGCTCAGCAGCTTTGGACTGATATCACCTGGCACCATCGCCATAGCGACACAGAGCACAAGAAGAAGCCTGTTCCAGTTATGGCCACGTTCACATCATCACAACGAACTAGAGCAGAGGAAAATTCTGCTGCTGCTGAGAAAATAGTCCCTGAACATGCGACGATTCATGCGACCCAAGGTTGGTTTTACTTCTAAAATGATTCCGTGGACACAGACGTTCACATGGACAGTCTGGTGTAATAACAGATTTTCTTCGGGTGTTTTGTGGAGTGGGTAAGACTGTTTTTAATGTAGGAGAACTATGACCATTGACATGCACTAGTCTAGCACCAGCGACCTCTGAAAATACAAGGACTGAACGGATTATATAAAAAGTGACACTCTAGCTCATTAGGAAAAGAGACCCTATGTCAGGGGTGTCAAACATCTGGTCCGGGTGCTGGATCCGGCCCCCCAAGACCTTTAATCTGGCCCTCGGCTGATTTTCCACTAAAATATTTTTAATATTTTCTATTAAAATATTGTTACAGTGTTTATGATATCAGAGTCTCATCAGCAAAATGTCCAAAATGAGAAAAGTGGAGCCGAGTGCAGGATTTTCCAAGAAAAATTGACTTATTCCTATTTTCATACAAATTCATGTTAAAACATCGTGTTGAAATTGTATTTTTCAGGTTTCAGGTTTAAGTTTCAGGTTGTTCATAATATTTTGTAAAAGAAAGAGTTCATCAATTCAAAAAGATTTGTGTAATAGATTTGTGTTTCTCTGCACAAATATTTGAACTTATTGTTATTTTTGGGGTTTATATGACATGAGTTTTCTGTTCTGGCCCCTTTGGGATCAGAGTAGGTTGGACGCGGCCCCCGGACCAAAATGAGTTTAACACTCCTGCACTATGTCCAAAATTCTGAACTGTCCCTTTAAGATAAGATAAGCTCATCCTTTACTGTCTCCCATGGGACAGGGGATCACAGCTTTATCAAAAAAACCGGACAACACAAAGCACCACGTAAACAAACACCACAGAACAAAAAAAAAAATAAGTGTGACCACGAGTGATGCACCAACAGGAGCTTTAAATCGTTCTTTACAGGTAAACTCTTTGCATTCTTGTATTCTATTAATAACTGCACACTCCCTGAGCCTGTGTAGTTTTGATTGCACGTTCCCTTCTCCCTTCAGGTTCTGTGTTTGCTGCTGTTCTTGCCGTAGTCAAGGTTTTAGCCGACCATTGATGACATTTATTTTTACACGTGATACTGTTCTACATTTGAGCATAATTTTTACAGAACATGTTTTCTCAACCCTGGCAATGTTTTTAAAAAGCTAATCGATTACGTTGCGACATGTTTATCAAATACTGGCAATGTTTTTCAAAAGCCTACAGATTAAACCGTCTGTGACATTTGTATTTAAATATTAAATGTGATCAATGAAAATGCTGTTTTACATTTAACATGTTTTCTCAATGCTGGCAATGTTTTTAAAAAGCCCAATAAAGATCACACATTTATTCAAAGATTAAACGTTTTCTGTGACAAAATGTTGAGTGTTTTTTTTTTGCTGAAGAGGGCGGGAATCACTAAACCCAATCTGGCAACACTGTTTGTGGACTGGGCTCATTATTTGTGGATGATAATTTCTGTGGATGATGTGGATGAGACGCTGCACTTTAAATGTACCACTTTACGAGAGGTGAGGAATAAAGTCTCATTATTTTCGGAGTTTCGTGAGTTTGTACCTTGCGCCTCTGCCCCTGACGCTCGGGTTTATTGTGGCTCAAACACGTGTGAATAAAACAAAACACAACTCCAGGTCTGTTTGCGATGAGAAAACAACATAAGGGCACAGATCAGAAAACAGAGCTCGGGTTTTTAGTGTCTGCGTTAAAAGTTGTACATGTGAACAGAGACGAGCAGCAGCAGGAGAAACAGGAGCCGAGCTGGAGCCAGAACCTGCACGGCTCCTGTGGGCGGGGCCTCTGCGGCGGGGGGCGTCGTATTTGTGGTTGTGGGCGGGGCCCCTGTGGTGTTTGGCGGCGTGTTTGTGGTCATGGGCGTGGTCATGGGCGTGGTCATGTGTGTGGTCATGGGCGTGGTCATGTGTGTGGTCATGGGCGTGGTCATGGGCGTGGTCATGTGTGTGGTCATGGGCGTGGTCATGGTCATGTGTGTGGTCATGTGCGTGGTCATGGGCGTGGTCATGTGTGTGGTCATGGGCGTGGTCATGGTCATGTGTGTGGTCATGTGCGTGGTCATGGGCGTGGTCATGGTCATGTGTGTGGTCATGGGCGTGGTCATGGTCATGGGCGTGGTCATGGGCATGGGCGTGGTCATGGTCATGGCGTGGTCATGGTCATGGGCGTGGTCATGGGCCGGGTCACTCCGGTGGTCAGTGGGACGTTGCAATAGTTGGTGTTGCAGCAGGACAGGTCTTTGCACAGGTTCTCAGAGACACATCCGTACCGACTGTAGTTCCCCACTGTAACGCAGAAGACGCACACGGCTCAAACGATGAATACACATCGTTTATTCCCATCTCACCCTTTTTACTACAGTTTAGACAACCTTTTTTCACTTAGATTCTAGAGCAGAGTACGCCTAAGATTGTCTCAGCTCAGCACAAGGACAGAAAATAACCTCTTAAAGTGAAAGTATCCACCTTCTACTCGAGGGGGAGGGGCTCCATCGTTACTTAGGCCCATATTCTATGATTAAATGATCAAATGTTTTTGTCTCTAGACTCTCTGATGAGGACTTTCAGTAGTTTTTATGTAGTTCTGCTGGGTGACTGTGCTTAAAAAGTGTTTCTAAATCTGTGACACTCACGATGAGGCGAAGGCTTCATGTGAGCCTGCGTGTTTCTAAAGAGCTTTAGAGTCGTGTCAATAGCAAAACTGGTGGATAGAAACATGCACATCCAATAACCAAACCAATCCAAACTAATCCAAACTAATCCAATAAAAAAAAAATCTTCAGGTGTTTTGCATCACAGTGTGGAGTTTCAGTTGTGGCGTCATTGAAATAAAATTTGGGAGCTCTGAAGAACTTCAGTGTGGATCTTTTTTTTCGGTACAGTTTATAATGTACACCTTATTTACCCTTATTAAAGCATGAACAAAAACTTAATTCATAAAGAACAAATGCTTAATTAAGAGTCATTTAGGCTTATTGAGTATTGAATTACTACCTTAATTAGCACTTTACTTGCACTTAATCTGCTTGTGCTGTAAAGTCTTCACTTTAGAAAAGCTCTCAAAAAGACTTAACTAACAGATAAGAGCTTTCTGAATGATCAGTGCTTTGCAGTATTAGTAAATCATTCTCTCATGGCTTAACAATCATTAATAAATGTTCAAATTTGTATTTAAATACTTACAAATATAAACACAAATGTTTAGTTCAGTAAGTATGAAATAATTACGAGTAACTATTTACAGCACAAGCTGATAAAGTGCAATTTAAGTGCTAATTAAGTATTTATTAAGCTTGAATGACTCTTTATTAAGTATTTGTTCATTATGAATTAACTCTTTGTTCATGCTTTATTAAGGCTAAATAAGGTGTAGTTATTAAATTGTTACTTAACACTGAATAATTTCAGTAATAATGAAAAAATAAAGTTGACAACACTTCAAGAAGAAACGACATCTGATATAAAACACATCATCTCCAAGACCAGGGACAGTTCTGAACGAGGCTCTAAACATGTCAGAGAGGTAAACACATCTACTACAGTCTTAAAAAGAACCAAAGCTGCAATTATTATTAGAAGGAAAAATTCCAGTACAAATGTGAGACCTCTCATTACCTGTGCTGCCACAGGAAACAAACCACCATTAGTAGTAACTTTAGTAAATAAACAATAGACAAATAAATAAAGAAAGGGAAGTGTGTCTCTCACCAGAAGTGTTGGTGCAGGTCTCCATGACGTTGCAGGTCACATTTTGTCTGCATTCTTTTGTGTCTGGGTCACAGCCGTAACACTGCAGAGAGCCAGCAGGGGGCGCTGGAACAGAGAGGAGCAGTTGAACCTTTGAGAAAAATCTATGGGCCCGATCATGACCTCGATCTTAATCTGGAGCAGACTGAGGGAGTGATGTGGCACGTTCAGTGAATTTCCGGAGTTGTAAAAATAAATAACAAACTAGTCTACTAAAAACAATGTGTAACCTGCTCAAGGCTTCGTTGATTTTGAAATATATTAGAATGATAAATGCTTTAACATTCATAACATGTTCATGTGCTGTGCGGGATGTTCGTGTATCGTCCGGATGCCCTCCCTCTGCTCAGCTCTGCTCTAGAGTTTGGTTTGATCTGGATCTGTACAAAATCTGCTGGTTCAGATGTGATCACTATGTATGTACTAGTACCGTCCAACTCCAGCCTCCAGCAGCAAAGTACAGCCCCACCTGGACACGCCCCCTCGTTCAGGCTAACGCTAAGATCAGGGGGAAGGTAGGGCCCTGTATGTGTAAAATGAGAAGCAGCACTCACAGGACGGGGCTGGAGCGTTGCAGTCGTCTGTGTCACAGCATGTGAGGTTGCTGAGGTAAGACCTGGAGCCATAGTCATAAGAAAAAAACTGAGACCCTGCAGCTGTACAGACCGAGGGAGGAGCACAGCCTTTTTGGATTCCACTGTAGCTGGAGTTTCCATAATTGAAAGAACCTGAAACCAGGACAGAAACAGGTCAGATCTGAAGAGACTTCTCCAAGAACCAGGTCTGGACTGAGGACCAGAGCCAGACCCGCCCATTACAGATCTGTACCAACCAATCAGAGAGAGGCTCAGACATGCAGTGACCAATCAGAGGACAGTACTGTACCTGCGTAGCCCCAAGAATAACAGAACGAGGTGAGTTTGGAGCAGGTCACCGAGCGCTGAGAAGAACATGACGAGTCTGTGCACGTCAAACACTGTAACCCCAGATCTGAAAGAGACACAGGTTAGACCAGGACTGAACCAGGACTGAACCAGGACTGAACCAGGACTAAACCAGGACTAACCTGGGACGTTACAGTGGGAAGTGTTGCAGCAGGACACTGGGCTACTGAAGCCAATATATTGTTTTGACAGGTTGGTGTTGTTGCACAGATTCTCAGAGACACAGCCGTAAAATGGACGGGAGAAGTTATACTGGTCATTTGTAAGGACATCTGTATATATATAAAAAATAAATAAAATAAAAATTATATATATATGTATATGTGTGTGTGTGTGTGTGTGTGTGTGTGTGTGTGCACATACACATGTAGACTGTAAATATTAATTTAGATTTCAACTATACATCTAAATTGGAAACTTTATATTTAGACTGTGAACTTGAAATTTAAAATGTAAACATTACATTTTGATTTCAACTATACATTTACAATTACATTTTAAAAGTTACATTTACACTATAAACTTTACATTTACTGTAAACGTGACATTTAGTCAAACTTTACATTTTAGACTGTTAATTTTACATTTAGACTCTAAAATTTAAGTTTAGATTTTAACAATACATTTAGATTGTCAAAAATGCATTTACTGTAAACTATACATTTTGACTTAAACTTTACCTTTAGACTGAAAACTTTGCAGTTAGACTGGAAACTTTATATTGTAGGCTGTAAATTTTCATTTGCAACTGCAAATTTACATAGATACTGTAACGTTTACATTTACATTGTATATTTTATGTTTAGACTGTAAACTTTACACGTAAACTGTGGATTTTTACATTAAGACTGTAAACTTTACATTTAAACTTTAAAATCTGTTTACACAAACTTGGCATTCAAATTATAAACTTTACATTTAGATTTAAATTATACATTTACACTGTAAACTTTACATTTTAGACTGTAAACTTTATATTTTAGAATAAGGGTTACATTTTAATTTGTAAATTTTACATTTACTGTAAACTTTACATGTAAACTGTAGACTTTACATTCAGATTGTAAAATGCACATTTAGATTATAAACTTTACATTTTGAGTGTGAACTTGACATTTAGACTTAAATGTTACATTTAAACTGTAAACTTGACATTTAAACTGTAAACTTTATTTAAACTTTAAAATCAGTTTAATTTACACAAACTTGGCATTTAAATGGTAAACTTTACATTTAGATTTAAACAATACATTTACACTGTAAACTTTATATTTTAGGTTAAATGTTATATTTAAATTTGTAAACGTAACATTTACTGTAAACTTTATATTTAAACTGTAGACTTTACATTCAGACAGTAAACTTTACATTTTGAGTGTAAACTTGACATTTATACTGTAAACTTTCCGGGGGGACGTGTGTGTGTTACTGTATAGAACATGTTACTGTATGTTCACTGTACTCAACATTTCCAGGTCAACCTTTTGGAAATTAGAATGAAAATCGCACATTTCTCAAAATCCAAAAGAAAGTTCATGTGTTAGATGGAAATCTTCAGGAGATAGACAGATCTTTAGAACGGTACTCACCCACAGACTGTGCACACACCTCCTGGGTGTTACAGCTCACATTGGCAGTGCATTCATAAGTGAAAGGATCACAGCTGTAACACTGCAGAGAGCCAACAGGGGGCACCACAACTGAAACAAATGTGTGTTATATGAGACATTTTCAAAGTGCAGAACATCAGCTGATAATAGAGAATCACTCACGGGACTGATTCTGGTTGTTGCAGTTGTCTGTGTCGCAGCACGTGGTGTTTACATCAGCAGAGTAGGGACCATAATTATATGAAGAAAAGCCTTCAGCTTCACATTCCGAAGGTAAAGCACAGCCTTTATAAGTGGAGGTGGTGTTACTGCTGTAGTTTCCATAGTTGTAGGAGACTAAACACACAAAAGGAACAAATAAGAATCTCCTGAAGAGGGCAGTGCAGGTGCTGGTGCAGCACAACCTGAAAACAACACATTCAGTCCCACACGCCTCTTTGGCCACTTCAACAAAGTCAGACATATTTGTGATTCAGATTTGATGTTAGTTTCTGTATGTCATATTTGCAAAAATAATATCTCTTGGTAGATTATTCCACGCAGACATTAATGTGTATTTTACTGTGCTTCTTCCATGATTTGTTATTACATTAGGTCATTGGAATCTGCCCTCTGTGCCATGTCTGTTTAATATCGGTGCCCGTCTGAACTAAAGCAGAGCTCTTGATAAAGCACATTTGGTCATTTGATGACTGTAATGTTTCTTGTCAGATTAAGCAGGGAAGCTTTGAATCTCTCTTTTACCTGTAACCAGAACAACACAGAATGCATCCACTTTACTTTTGTTCTATATGTACATCGAAGAGCACATCGAGCTGCCTTATCTAGGACCATTTGCAGCTCCTTTATGTTCGACACAGCAGCACATGTCCAAGTCTCAGAGCAGTAATCTAACTGTGACAGTACAAGTGTTTTTATGACCTCTGCAACTATGTTCAAAGATAACAAATGGGAACATCTCCTCACCACTGCGAGAGTCCTGCTCATCCTACACACTGCAGCTCTGATGAGTTTAGACCAGGACAGTCTTTCATCAGTCTCTACTCCGAGACGCTTGGCCACTTGTACCTGCTCCACAATTTTATCTTTGACTGTGAGGCTTAATTTATGCTCATCCAACAGCAAACATCTGGTTCCAAACACAATACTTTTTGTCTTGTCAGTATTTAGAGCTAATTTGTTGTTTGCAGTCCGCTCATACACAGATTGTAATTCTTCCATTAAGACAGTTTGAAGTTCTCCACTTGTACTCTGTGATGAACAAACTGTTGAGTCATCAGCAAACAAGACTCTTTTAGAATTTTGTAACACTAATGGCAAGTCATTTGTATATAAAGAAAACAGGAGTGGACCTAGACGGCCTCCCTGTGCTGCACCACAGTAAACATCTCTGTCAGCTGAAAAACTTCTATTAAAAAGACAGTTTATTTTATTGTTTTCTCTGAAACTCTGAAGCCAAAGTGATGCTGCTGAACTGAACCCATAACATTGAATTTTTCTTAACAAAAGGTTGTGGTCAGTAAGATCAAAAGCTGAACTCAAATCTAATAACACTGCACCTGTCAGCCTCTTATTATCTAATCATCTAAGCAAACTGAAAATCTGTTTAAATTATTGTCTGAAAAATAAATCAAAGACTGTCCTCTCCATAATTTTGCTCGGAGTAGGCAGCAGATTAACTAGTCTACTATTAGGCCCACAGAAGGGTACACTTATACTCTTTGGAAATGGTAAAATATTAGCTTTTTTCCAAGCTTGTGGAAACATATTCTTCTGTAGGCTCAAATTTAAAATATGAGTGATTATGTTTGCCACTTATTTCAGTAACTTTGAGTCAATATCATCCACAGCAGAGGGTTTTACATTCTAATAATAGTTTTTATACGTGACTCTCAGTCACTTCAACAAATTCAAAATTACACTTCTTCAGGTCGTACACACAGACAAACATTTTGAAAGGTTTTTGAGCACCGTGTGCCACATAAAATCAGTTTGAGGACAGTAAGCACAACCAGAATTAATGCATAAAACACTGGATTATAAGACCCACAGTCAATGTTTGAGAAAATTAAAGGATTTTAAGTGCACCATATACTCTGAAAACTACAGTATGTAAATTGCTTTCCAATAGAATGTTTGAGATATCAGGTAACTTGTTCCTAAGACTGTGTATGTTTACATGTCCCAGTTTTATCCCCTTCTTTGGTAGATTAACAAAAGGAAACATCCTGAATTGTTTTGTATAATATGTTGTGATTTATTATTTGAGTCATGCTCAGGTGTTGACTTTTTCAATTTGATCAGTGTTCTTAATGCACAGAACTGTTGCCTCCTCTGGTCTGCCACTAAGTTTGACATAGATTTACAGTTGAAAGTCCTGAACTTTACCCCTCAAAGCCATTGCTTTTCTCACCAAATTTCTCACTCAAATTTTTAAAACCTCTACGTAGGTCAGTTTTGTGTTTGCGAACAACAATGACAGAACTGGCTTTCTGACTTTTTGTTGGGATAGTATGGCCGACTTCAGTATTTTACCTTTCGATGTTGATATTTTGCTTTTGCGTTCCCTTTCTTAGAACTCTTCTCCAGCCCTGACTTCACCACTTAAAACTCAAATCTTCTGTTCACATTAAACAAGGATTTTGATTTACACACAAAGTCTATGGATATTTGCATCTTCACACACGAGATGATGCAGATGAGACACACACATGCACTGACCAATCAGAGACACACACATGCACTGACCAATCAGAGACACACACATGCACTGACCAATCAGAGACACACACATGCACTGACCAATCAGAGACACACACATGCACTGACCAATCAGAGGAAGTCTTGTACCTGTGTAGGACTGAGAGACACACGCTTTACTTAAATAGGGGCAGTCGACTGAACGCTGCTCAGAGTCGGAGCCGCTTATGCACTGAAGTGTGCGAACTGTGGGAGAGAGAGAGACTGATGTCAGATACACACAGATACACACACACTTTATAGATGCATTCATAATAATCTGGGTCACAGTTGTAGTGCTGCAGAGAGCCAGCAGGGGGCAGTGAAACAGTGTTTAGGATTTTCTTAAGCATTATTTTTTGTGACCTACAATGATTAAATATTATTTATTTCTATGTTTCTTGCTGCTCGTTCTCTCTGAAGTCCTGTTCCATTAGGCGTCTGTTTGGGCTGAGGCAGGACACTTGGACTGGAAGGAGGTGACTTTGGAGGAACCCACTACCAAGTCTATTTGTGTAAAATGAGGAGCAGCACTCACAGGTCGGGTTTGGAGTGTTGCAGTCGTCTGTGTCGCAGCATGTGGTGATGTTGCTCAAGAAAATACTGTCGCCATTGTCATTAGAAACACCCTGAGACCCTGCAGCTGTACAGATTGAGGGAGGAGCACAGCCTTTTTGGATCCCACTGTAGCTGTAGATGGAGTTTCCACTAATGTAAGAACCTGAAACCAGGACAGAAACAGGTCAGATCTGAAGAGACTTCTCCAAGAACCAGGTCTGGACTGTGGACCAGAGCCAGACCCGCCCACTACAGACCTGTACCAACCAATCAGAGAGAGGCTCAGACATGCAGTGACCAATCAGAGGACAGTACTGTACCTGCGTAGCCCTGAGAGTAACAGAAGGGGGCGAGTTTGGAGCAGGTCACCGAGCGCTGAGAAGAACATGACGAGTCTGTGCACGTCAAACACTGTAACCCCAGATCTGAAAGAGACACAGGTTAGACCAGGACTGAACCAGGACTGAACCAGGACTGAACCAGGACTGAACCAGGACTAAACCAGGACTAACCTGGGACGTTACAGTGGGAAGTGTTGCAGCAGGACACTGGGCTACTGAAGCCAATATATAGTTGTGACAGGTTGGCGTTGTTGCACAGATTCTCAGAGACACAGCCGTAAAATGGACGGGAGAAGTTATACTGGTCATTTGTAAGGACATCTGTAACACACACGCATCAGGGTGATCCATCAAATAATGTTTCGATAGTTCAGATAACCTCGATTAGAACTCTGCATTAGGTTTAAGCATCCAAAAGATTATTTATGAAGAAATTTGGAGGAAAAAGGAGATGTTTTAGAGGTTGTTCAAGCTGCATGAAGTTTCCTGGAAATGGACTCATTTTGTGTTTTGAGCATAAACCGAGCTGATCTACTGAGAGAAACAGTAACACACCAACAAGGTCGAGGATTTGTGCTTCATCTAGCAAGGAATGTATTAAGTAAGACAAATAGAAAGTGAGGTTAATGTACATTTATATTAATGCTTTTTTCTAACTGTTAACAGGTTAACACAGATGTTAACACAGAAAGATCAGAGGTTCCACCAAAGAGATGTGATGCCCTTAATCAAGCAGATTCTGAAGGGAAGCAGGTCAGTAATTTTGTCTCCACCAGCACAATGTGTTTCTTCGAAGCTCTTGATCTGCCTAAAACATTTTGAACAGTTCCCCAGCAGACGGGGCTGATCATGCAGACTTTCAGAAGGAGCTAAAACTGTGCACTCCAGGAAAGTTTCAATGATGTTACTGAAAGGGCCTGAAACTTATTCAAGATTTTAACTGTAAATGAACAAAAAATGAAGATCAGAAACAGTTTCTACTGCAGCTGTCAAAGAATGTCAAAAGTGTCAAAGTAAACTTTACATTTAGATTTAATCTATACATTTAGACTGTAAACTTTATATTTAGTCTGTAAATTGTATATAACCCACATCTGAACCACTTTTATTATAGCAGGTCAGTTTTCGCTCTAACCTGATTTCCCTCATTTTCTTTAAGTTACAGGGTCACAGTGTCACTTCCTCCTCCTCTGCTCTGCTGTGGCTGTGTCATGCTCTGGTGTCGTCAAACATATACTTCAAACTTTAAAACTTTGTATCTCACAACCTTCATATCCTGCGCCTCCATACATGTTTTAACATATGACCGTGCATGGGGAGTCACTTTCAGCCTGGAATTCAAAGGTCAGTTTTTTTAATGGACTGATTCATCACAACTAAACTGCATCCTTCAACCCCATACCCTGATGGCGAGCTAATTCATGGTAGGAGAAAACCTTTATTTATTTATTTTTTTTTTTTACTTTCAACCTGGATTAAACTAACGATCAGCACTAACTGCATCATCGAGGACTAAACACACAAACTGCAATCACTGGACTGGTTTCCTCTTAATCAATACCCAGCCAATATTATATTTGTTGTTTTGTTGGTTGTGTTTTTATTTTGTTATCATTTGCTAAATGTATTTCAGGATGTTTATCACAAAGCTCTAAATACACTCTGGGGTCTCGTCACTCATACTCAGGCTCCCTAAAGAACAAATCTGCTGAACTGTGAAGCTGTAGTCTGCCCCCTAGACCTAAATTCTGTTACATTTACATTCAGAGTGTAAACTTTACATTAAGACTTAAACTTTACATCTATACAGTAAACTTTACACTTAGACTGTGAACTTGACATTTAAATTGTAAACTTTACATCTAGACTAAAAAGTTTACATTTAGACTGTCAAATTTCACAAAAGTTCTTCAAATTCCTCAAATCTCTATCTATCTATCGATCGATCGATCTAGATATATCTGGATAGATAGATCTAGAAAGATAGATAGTAAGAAATGTTTTGACTGGTACTCACCCACAGCCTGTGCCACACACCTCCTGGGTGTTACAGCTCACATTGGCAGTGCATTCATAAGTGAAAGGATCACAGCTGTAACACTGCAGAGAGCCAACAGGGGGCGCCACAACTGAAACAAATGTGTGTTAAATGAGACATTTTCAAAGTGCAGAACATCAGCTGATAAGAGAGAATCACTCACTGGGCTGATTCTGGTTGTTGCAGTTGTCTGTGTCGCAGCACGTGGTGTTTATATCATAAGAGTAGGGACCATAATTATATGATGAAAACCCTTCAGCTGCACATTCCGAAGCAGAAGCACAGCCTTTATAAGTGGAGGTGGTGTTACTGCTGTAGTTTCCATAGTTGTAGGAGACTAAACACACAAAAGGAACAAATAAGAATCTCCTGAAGAGGGCAGTGCAGGTGCTGGTGCAGCACAACCTGAAAAAAACACATTCAGTCCCACACGCCTCTTTGGCCACTTCAACAAAGTGAGACATATTTGTGATTCAGATTTGATGTTAGTTTCTGTATTATCATGATCTGTATTATTTAATACATGTGTCCTTAAACCCTGTTTTTGTTGATTTGTTCAGAGTCTTGATGTTGAGGTGGAAGCGTCACAAGAGCAGAACAAGACCAAAACTAAAACTTTATTTAAGTTGAGTATCCATGGCAACTCTGCATAGAGCTAGCAATGCCAACCAGGTAGCTCTGAAATACTAGGGTTTTTACACCAAATATGGCAGAAGACCTTCCAGAGGAAACACTTCGAGGGACTGTCCCATCTCATCACCGACCCAAACAGAGGACGCACTGACACTAGGACTTTTGAACCGAGCCGTACTTGAGCACGATTGTTGTGGGTTCTATGTTCCACACTCACACCTGCACAACAGAACCAAGCCAGGGCCTGAAGACGTCATCGCACGGCGCTGTTTGTTTACATGTGGCAGTCGAGCAAACACTTTAGCACAGAAAAAAGTCCAGCAGTAGAAATATCTATTAAATAGTGAGGCTGATGTGAGTCCTGCTGTGATACGTGCTCCTCCGTGAGTTTATGGAGATAAAAACAACTCGGGGGAGTGAGGACAACCAGAGACGAGAGGCTGCAGAACTTCTGTCACCATCCCCAGTCTTTACTGAAGGTAAGCTTGGATTCGCTGTAAGTTTTAGAAACTTTATTCAATGTTTTCCTCGTATGAGCAGGTAAAGTCGTGCATGTGCACGTACATGAGCTCCGTGTGTTCACAACAAACAAGGTTTTTTGTTTACAGTCGTCCCTCGTTATATCACGGTTCACCTCTTGCAGTCTCTGTGTGTCGCAGATTTTTTTGTGTGCAATTTTTTATGTTTTTTTTTTTTACATTGTATGAACATTGTGTTCCTCCCCCGTGTCCTGATTGACTAAGCGACTGTGTAGCTCATTGTCAATCAGTCTCCGTGCCGTGTCTCTGTACAGTGCAGAATGTGTTCAGTTTGACAAATTTACATGAAAGTTTGATCTCTCGCAGTGTGATTCTGAAGTGCTGTGTATTTCCAAGTTTTCTCCTCAACAAAACCCACTATGTCGACGAAACGTTCTGCACCAACAAAAGCTCCTGCGCTTGCACCCAAAAGGCAGAGGAAGATGTAACCATTGTACAAAAAGTTGGACTTCTGGACACGCTGAAGGAAGAGAGAAGTTACACGGCTGTAAGTGTCCGTACAGAATAAATTCAGAATAAATTAATCTTTGGTTCATTACATAAAGAAGGAGGAAAATAACATAAGGACAACAGCAGCAATAAGTTTTAAGAAGGATGCAAAAAGGGTTGTAACTGTCTGCAACAAGGCCATCGTAAGGTTGGAGTCTGCTTTACCTTTGTGGATCAGTGACTGCAAAAATAAAAGAACTTTACACTGGATACCGACATCTTCCACACAAAAGCTAAAAAGCTTTATAAAACATTTGCTGACAGCGATGACATTCATGACAGCGAGGAGCAGGATGATGTGGACCCCAGGCTATCAATGAGTGCTTTTACCACGCAGTACCAGCCCATTTAATGCCAGCAAGGGCTGTCTTGACAAATTTCAGAAATGTTTTGGACTTAAAGGTTGTATAGAGGATTTTCCAAGGAACGAGAAATCCAGCGACTGTTTGTCCTTTTTCAAATGTTGCGCATGCGTGAAACCACCCCCCCTCCCCTACAGCTCCCTACGTAGAAACGCCTTCTCCCGCCTCCTCACTACGCCAGAAACAGGTTTGTTTACAGCCGGTGAGCTGCACATGACTTGTAAACAACTAACTACAGTGTTGGTTAGGCAAGGCGGAGAAGTGAGGAGCGGGGGGAGCGGGTGTGCGGACATTTCGTTCGCGGACGAGAAGTGAGGAGCAGGGAGAAGAGCGGAGCAGGGAGAGAGGAGAGAGGAGAGAGGAGAGGGGAGGGGGTGCGCGGAGATTCCGTGCCCGTAGAAGTGAGGAGAAGGGGGAAGAGCGGAACGGGCAGCGGGGACAGGAGTAGGAAAGGGGAGCAGAGAAGGTTGCGCGGAGATTCAGTGCGAATGAACTAGCTACAACACGCAGCAGCAAGCGGACTCTTTCTTTGCCTTGAAAATTACGTTTTCAGACATAGGATATCGCTTTCGTGTCCTGAAAAACGTTTGACTAGCTCTTGGAAATAAAGTACGTTTTCATAATAAGCAGAAGTTACCTGTCCAGGAGTAATTTGGCGACCAATGCGTCAGTCTTTAGACCCTGCGTCTGCTTCAGTCGCGCCATCGCTGGAATGAATCTACAAGAATCACCTTAGTTTGGCTTCGCTGCTTTTCCCCTTGTCTTCTTCTTTCAGCGACCTCAAAAACGGACTTTCTTTTGCGGCTAACTGCTCCTGGATTCTTGTCGCCATCGCAACAAACTTTGTGCTAACTGCGAGGAAGATATAGGTCAAAAAAAGCCGCTAAGAACTGTTGCGTTGGTGGAGTAAACAGTGTCTGTGCGTCTTGCGTCTGTGGACTGCGTGACAGGCGTACGTAAACCACGTACCGGCGGCGCGCAGGCAGGTCAGTTACGCTAGAAACGTAGGGAGTTTGATTGATAGCCTGTCAGCTAACAGATAACGAGGCAATGTCGTTATCTATTGGCAAATGTTTAGCCCCACCACGTCCAGAGTTGATGAATTTTTATTCTCTTTTTTTTGGTCATCATAATTACAAGGCTACTGCACCTCTATAATGCTATCATTGACAACTTGAAACAAAAAAAACAAAAAAAAAATCCTCCATACAACCTTTAAAAGTGCTTTTCTTCATGGAGAGGCAGTCTCTGCAGATACCGCTGGAGCAGAGGCATACGTGAACAACAAATTTAAAGTGATCATCAAGTGTCTGTTTTTAAGAATCTTCTCACCCAGAAGAAAAAACAGCATCAACAACTACCCACAACTATGTTCTTCACTCAGAAAAAGGCACCTACACCAAGGCCTACAATGGAAAAAGACGCTACAGCGGAAACGGCACCAGGAAGAGGAGGCACGGTCAGAAGAACTGTGAACTATTAATCATTTCTTATGTGTCCAACCTCGTAGGTTGATCATTCAAATTAAATTTGTTATTTCTAAAAGCTATCAAAGTAAAATGTTCATATTTTTTTTTCTCAAACAAATGTTTGGGCCTGAAAGCAGGTTTTGACGGTTGTTTTCATTCTATTATACTGTACTTATTTTTTAACATCTACGAAGGTTTGAACTTTGAGAATGTGTAAACAAGAGAGAAATGTGAGAAAATTATAATGCCTGTCTGAGAAAAGTGTATAAAGTGTGTGGTGAGAGGTTTTACAGCCTTAAAATATATATAATAACTGTAAAAAATAAACCTGATTACTTCACGGATTTCGCTTATTGAGGATTATTTTTAGAACGTAACTCCAGCGATAAACGAGGGAACATTGTACATGCAAGGTCTATGGATGGGCGCGTCTTCACACACACCAGGTGATGGCAGATGAGACACACACATGCACTGACCAATCAGAGACACACACATGCACTGACCAATCAGAGACACACACATGCACTGACCAATCAGAGGAAGTCTTGTACCTGTGTAGGACAGAGAGATACACGCTGTACTTAAATAGGGGCAGTAGACTGAACGCTGCTCAGAGTCGGAGCCGCTTATGCACTGAAGTCTGCGAACTGTGGGAGAGAGAGAGACTGATGTCAGATACACACAGATACACACACACTTTATAGATGCATTCATAATAATCTGGGTCACAGTTGTAGTGCTGCAGAGAGCCAGCAGGGGGCAGTGAAACAGTGTTCTGCAGTATGTTTCATTATCTACAATGATTAAAGATTATTTATTTCTATGTTTCTTGCTGCTCGTTCTCTCTGAAGTCTGTTCCATTAGGCGTCTGTTTGGGCTGAGGCAGGACACTTGGACTGGAAGGAGGTGACTTTGGAGGAACCCACTACCAAGTCTATTTGTGTAAAATGAGGAGCAGCACTCACAGGTCGGGTTTGGAGCGTTGCAGTCGTCTGTGTCGCAGCATGTTTTCTTTATGATGTAAGAAATGTCACCAAAGTCACCAGAAACAACCTGAGACCCTGCAGCTGTACAGACCGAGGGAGAAGCACAGCCTTTTTGTATCCCACTGGAGCTGTAGCTTCCATCACTGTTAGAAACTGAAACCAGAACAGAAACAGGTCAGATCTGAAGAGACTTCTCCAAGAACCAGGTCTGGACTGTGGACCAGAGCCAGACCCGCCCACTACAGACCTGTACCAACCAATCAGAGAGAGGCTCAGACATGCAGTGACCAATCAGAGGACAGTACTGTACCTGCGTAGCCCTGAGAGTAACAGAAGGGGGCGAGTTTGGAGCAGGTCACCGAACGCTGAGAAGAACATGACGAGTCTGTGCACGTCGAACACTGTAACCCCAGATCTGAAAGAGACACAGGTTAGACCAGGACTGAACCAGGACTGAACCAGGACTGAACCAGGATTGAAACAGGACTGAAACAGGACTAACCTGGGACGTTGCAGTGGGAAGTGTTGCAGCAGGACACTGGGCTACTGAAGCCAATATATAGTTGTGACAGGTTGGTGTTGTTGCACAGATTCTCAGAGACACAGCCGTAAAATGGACGGGAGAAGTTATACTGGTCATTTGTAAGGACATCTGTAACACACACACACACACACGCACACGCATCAGGGTGATCCATCAAATAATGTTTTGATAGTTAAGATAACATCGATTACAACTCTGCATTAGGTTTAAGCATCCAAAAGATTATTTATGAAGAAATTTGGAGGAAAAAGGAGATGTTTTAGAGGTTGTTCAAGCTGCATGAAGTTTCCTGGAAATGGACTCATTTTGTGTTTTGAGCATAAACCGAGCTGATCTACTGAGAGAAACAGTAACACACCAACAAGGTCGAGGATTTGTGCTTCATCTAGCAAGGAATGTATTAAGTAAGACAAATAGAAAGTGAGGTTAATGTACATTTATATTAATGCTTTTTTCTAACTGTTAACAGGTTAACACAGATGTTAACACAGAAAGATCAGAGGTTCCACCAAAGAGATGTGATGCCCTTAATCAAGCAGATTCTGAAGGGAAGCAGGTCAGTAATTTTGTCTCTATCAGCACGATGCGTTTCTTCGAAGCTCTTGATCTGCCTAAAACATTTTGAACAGTTCCCCAGCAGACGGGGCTGATCATGCAGACTTTCAGAAGGAGCTAAAACTGTGCACTCCAGGAAAGTTTCAATGATGTTACTGAAAGGGCCTGAAACTTATTCAAGATTTTAACTGTAAATGAACAAAAAATGAAGATCAGAAACAGTTTCTACTGCAGCTGTCAAAGAATGTCAAAAGTGTCAAAGTAAACTTTACATTTAGTCAGTACTGTAAGATTACACTTAAATTTAAACTATGAATTTAGACTGTAAACCTTACATCTAAACTATAAACTTTATATTTAGGCCATAAAATTTACATTTAGTCAGTAAACTTTACATTTAGACTGTAAAGTTTACATTTAGTCTGTAAACTTTACATTTAGATTGTAAACTTTACATTTAGTCTGTAAATTGTATATAACCCACATCTGAACCACTTTTATTATAGCAGGTCAGTTTTCGCTCTAACCTGATTTCCCTCATTTTCTTTAAGTTACAGGGTCACAGTGTCACTTCCTCCTCCTCTGCTCTGCTGTGGCTGTGTCATGCTCTGGTGTCGTCAAACATATACTTCAAACTTTAAAACTTTGTATCTCACAACCTTCATATCCTGCGCCTCCATACATGTTTTAACATATGACCGTGCATGGGGAGTCACTTTCAGCCTGGAATTCAAAGGTCAGTTTTTTTAATGGACTGATTCATCACAACTAAACTGCATCCTTCAACCCCATACCCTGATGGCGAGCTAATTCATGGTAGGAGAAAACCTTTATTTATTTATTTATTTTTTTTTACTTTCAACCTGGATTAAACTAACGATCAGCACTAACTGCATCATCGAGGACTAAACACACAAACTGCAATCACTGGACTGGTTTCCTCTTAATCAATACCCAGCCAATATTATATTTGTTGTTTTGTTGGTTGTGTTTTTATTTTGTTATCATTTGCTAAATGTATTTCAGGATGTTTATCACAAAGCTCTAAATACACTCTGGGGTCTTGTCACTCATACTCAGGCTCCCTAAAGAACAAATCTGCTGAACTGTGAAGCTGTAGTCTGCCCCCTAGACCTAAATTCTGTTACATTTACATTCAGAGTGTAAACTTTACATATAGATTTGAACTATAAATGTAGACTGTTAACTATACATTTAGACTATAAACTTTACGTTTAGATTTTAAGACTGTAAACATTTAGACTGTAAACTTTACCTTTAGACCGTCAAATTTCACAAAAGTTCTTCAAATTCCTCAAATCTCTATCTATCTATCTAAGATAAATAGCTAGAAATGTTTTGAACTGTACTCACCCACAGCCTGTCCACACACCTCCTGGGTGTTACAGGTCACATTGGCAGTGCATTCATAAGAGTAAGGATCACAGCTGTAACACTGCAGAGAGCCAACAGGGGGCGCCACAACTGAAACAAATGTGTATTAAATGAAACATTTTCAAAGTGCAGAACATCAGCTGATAAGAGAGAATCACTCACTGGATGGATTCTCATTGTTGCAGTTGTCTGTGTCGCAGCACGTGGTGTTTACATCATTAGAGTAGGGACCATAATTATATGAAGAAAACCCTTCAGCTGCACATTCCGAAGCAGAAGCACAGCCTTTATAAGTGGAGGTGGTGTTACTGCTGTAGTCTCCATAGTTGTAGGAGACTAAACACACAAAAGGAACAAATAAGAATCTCCTGAAGAGGGCAGTGCAGGTGCTGGTGCAGCACAACCTGAAAAAAACACATTCAGTCCCACACGCCTCTTTGGCCACTTCAACAAAGTGAGACATATTTGTGATTCAGATTTGATGTTAGTTTCTGTATTATCATGATCTGTATTATTTAATACATGTGTCCTTAAACCCTGTTTTTGTTGATTTGTTTATGAACAGAGTTCTACACAAAAACCTGGGAAATGATCGGAGTGTTCAGAGTCTTGATGTTGCTAAATCCCTTCCCCTGGCTCCAGGACACACTGTAAAATATACTCTGGTAATTTTACTTAGAACATGCAACAATTTACTACCAAGTCATCTACAAATCTTGTTTAAAATGAAGGTCTGGAAATTTCAACTTGCCCAATGTTCAAACAACTTGCATAAAACTCTGGAACTGTGTGGACACACGTCTCAACCACTGCCAAGATCTCCATAAATTCAAGTTCTTCTTTAAAGTAAATAGAGAGAGTGTCTTAATACATACGTCCTTCTGTAGAGCAGCGTTTTGTTTGTTTTCTTTCTGCTGGTTTGTGCTGTTCATTACCCTGACTTATCTGTTGTCTGTTCCCATTGTCTGTATCCTTATGTGTTATTACAATATGATGACAGTTACCAAACTATAACAGTGACTCTATCCAACGTTTTAGAACACCACACTTTTTACTGTTTTTGACTGTTTACTGTCGACCAAAACCTATTCTGAACTTTAGATTGACGTGTGTCGACCTTGGTCAGATAGAACAGCTGAACACACTCCTGACATGTTCTTTTCACATTGAAGTCACATGTCCAAAGATCAGATATGTTTGGGTTTTAGGAGCACAGATCCAAGTGGTCTGGGTCACACTGGAAAAAAATTGATCTGATTCAGGAGCATAGGGGCCAAAACATCAGATCTGGGTCACTTCAGGCTGCAGACTGAACGTAGCCTTAAGCTGGACGTACACTGTGCGATTTTTGACCTTTTTTGAGCCGATTTTTCACTCGTGCGACTGTTTTGGGGATTGGGCCGAGTTTTGGCTTCATCGTGTGTCGAGCTTCGTGTCCTAAACCTGGGGATAAGAAAACTGATTAATACCTCACGACCAGCTCCTGATCGACATTCGTAAGGTCGCAAGAATCAAACTTGTTTGAAATCCAATCGTCTCTCGTGAGGGTTTCACTCTGTTGAAGTTGTTCCACGAGACGATTTGCCAGAATCTGTCAGACTGAGCATGTACGGACACAGAAGCAGAAGCAGGACATGAGGTTGTGGAGGACGATGGCGTCGGTGAGTGTTTTGGACACAGGACATGGAGGCGCAGCTGATCCAGCAACACAGAACACAAGTTTGGTGAAAAACTTGATGCTACTGACCTCCAGTTCCCTCTGAAGACCTGACAACGTGTTCTGCCCACACCTGCCCACACCTGCCCACACCTGCCCACACCTGTCCACACCTGTCCACGTCTGCCCACGTCTGCCCATGTCTACGCAGCTGTTTCTTTGATTCGTCACCTCTTCTTTTTGTTCTTGCCTGCACAGAGAATGGCACAAATTGCCAAAGGCGACGCGTCTGTTTTTTGCCTGGATCATTGTGTCTCCACACGTCTGTGGTTTTTCTTCTTTGTGGTTTTCTGTCTTTTACTGAGTGTATTGTCTTGTCCTGTCTAATGTCTGTGTGCGTGTTGTCTGTGGCAAACTAAAACAATAAACAAAAAAAACCAAAAAAAACAAAAACCTGTTCAGTGATGATGTCAGCTGAAGGAATGTACTTCCTGGTATCAGGTATCTGGTAATTTCCTGCTCGTCTGTGTTTTGGTTTTTTAGGGGATTTACAAATTAAATCTTACATAATGACGTTGTGGTGGAACAGGTTTGGGTGCAGCTGCAGAATTCATGACCTACTGACTGTCACAGGGCAAAACCAGAGACTCAGCACTTTATTTTACACATAAACTGTGAAAAACAAGACCAAGGCCAAAGACCCGAACACACAGAGGAGACCAGGTGCACCCGGAGGAGACCGGGTGCACCCAGAGGAGACCAGGTGCACCCAGAGGAGACCAGGTGCACGATTGGCCGAGAGCAGAGGACACGTGACTCACTGTGATAACTGAGCACCGTTTCCGTGTGGAAATGTGTGAAAAATACGAGTGTGGACAAATGCATTTAGATTCTCTGATAAACTTAATGTGTGTTCACACCAGAGCGTCGAAAAACACCCTACACGCTTCTGTTTGGACGTTTTTGCATTTGACAGAGACTAGTCCCGGTCTAGTCCCGGTCTAGTCCTGGTGTAGTCTCGGTCTAGTCCTGGTGTAGTCTCGGTCTAGTCCTGGTGTAGTCCCGGTCTAGTCCTGGTGTAGTCTCGGTCTAGTCCTGGTGTAGTCTCGGTCTAGTCCTGGTGTAGTCTCGGTCTAGTCCTGGTGTAGTCCTGGCGATCTGCTCGGTGTTTGTGGTGTATATATTTAATTATTATATTATTATTATTATATTTTTGCATTAATGTTTGTGGTTCTGGTTCTTGGGTCTTTTTCTTTCTTCCTGATAATAACGTCTCACGTCTCTGATGCGACACGTCTGACACGAAAAGTTGAGCAATTTCAACTTTCTGACGCTGACGCCTTGGACAACGTTTTGACGCTCTGGTGTGAACCTCATTTAGAGGATGTGACAAGAAAAGAGACTGGAACAGTTACCGATGTAAGTCCTGGAGAGACACTGGGTCTCTCCTGATGAGCAGTTCTGTGATGTCGGAGAAGAACACGAAGAACCTTCACAGGACCAGCACTGCAGACCAGCAGCTGCAAGAGACCAGACCAGGTTCAACAAGGACTAAAACAGGACTAAAGCAGGACTAAAACAGGACTAAAACAAGACTAAAACAGAACTAAACAAGGACTAAAACAGAACTAAACAAGGACTAAAACAGGACTAAACAAGGACTAAAACAAGACTAAAACAGAACTAAACAAGGACTAAAACAAGACTAAAACAGAACTAAACAAGGACTAAAACAGAACTAAAACAAGACTAAAACAGAACTAAACAAGGACTAAAACAAGACTAAAACAGAACTAAACAAGGACTAAAACAGAACTAAACAAGGACTAAAACAGAACTAAACCAGGTCTAAACCAGGTCTGTGTTGCTTGCAGACCCTGTTGGCAGGATAACGAGGAGCAGTTGAGGAGACTTCAGACGATGGTGCAGCTGAGGTACAAATTTTAGGCATCTGTACTTTACTTAAGTACTTTTTTACAAAGGATACTTTTTACTTTTACTTCAGGTGTCTGTACTTTCTACTCCACTACATTTTAGAACAGGACAGAAAAGTAAAAAGTTCTTTGAAATTGCTGAAAATTTTTATATATATTTTTTAGCACTTTATTATTATTATTATTATTTTTGACTTTCTGTTCCAATTTTGAGCAACACAAAAACAAAAACAGCAAGAAAACATAAGAATTCAACTGAATCACTTAAAATGAGCTGAATTATTTTTCAAAATCACATTTCATCCTTTAATTGTTCTTAAAATCTCTGCAAAATACGTTTACTTTTTTACTTTTTAAGTGTGTTTTTAAACAGCTGCTTAAGTAGATTTTTCATGTTATACTTTTAGTTTTACTCGAGTTACTTTTTTTGCATTTTTATTTATTTTTTTTTATAGAAAACCACTAAAATCCTTTACATTTTGCTCCACACTTAATATTATTTCACTTTTACATAGTTCAAGACGGCTAAAGTCTGATCGCACATGTGAAAAAAATAAAAAGCCGTTCATAATTGGCCACTTATGACTTTTTAATCATAGTTTACACAAACCCGTCTGAACGTAACTTGACTCAAACGTGTCTAAAACCAAATTTAAATCCCACAAATACCTGAGTGGACACAGATGAACAGAGCCACCAGAGTCAAGAGCTTCACAGACGTCTTCATCATCCTGCTCCTGTCTGCTCCTGTCTGCTCCTGTCTGCTCCTGTCTGCTCCTGTCGGCTCTTCTGACTCTTCTCTGGCTGCACTTCTTTTTTCTAGGCCTGGATGAGGGTGTGTCTGTGCTCCTCTTTATAACTGGGCTGTCCCGTTGGCGCGTCGGGCTGCAGGTGGATGCTCGGCTCTTACCGTCATCGTTAAAGGCGAATCCGTGACTGCACCGAAATGTCCGGCTTCGAGAACCCGCCCAAAACCAAAACCTCACCTGTTCAGAGCCACTTTGAAAGTCTAACCTGCTTTTAAATCATGCCTCAGTTTTGTCTTAGTTTAATGTTTACTTGTGTTTTCTGAAATGTGCCACAAACCGTTTTGGATCAAGACATAAGTCGGAGATCGTGGCTGCGTTCCCCCCATTACCCGAACTTCAAATTATTTTTTTTTGCTATAGTTAAAATAATAATCTCAACTCACAACATTCTACAGGCCAATACTATTTAATACAGACGGGGGAAGATGAAATGAATATTGTTTAAATGCACATTTTCGTTATAACACAGTGAGTTCTTGAGTCGAATCGCCCGTGGAAATGAACCGATTCAGTATTTGTGCATTTACCTTTTGGATGTTCCACGACAGAGCACAATGTGACCAAAAGAAAGAGCGTTTTCAGATTCTAGACTGTGGCGATGTCGGACTCTCAGACTCGGAGGTAAGAGACGGATTTTTCTATTAATTACACTGCACTTTACCATGAAATTTCCAAAATCAAAATGTAAATTCACAAATGTTGAACGTGAACATTTCTGTCAGTTTCAGTCAACAAAAATCTGCATTTTAACAATATTAATATGACTTGGCCCCATCGGTATTAAATAACACTGTAGAATGTTGTGTTGTGTTGTGTTGTGTTGTGTTGTGTTGTGTTGTGTTGTTTTGTGTTGTGTTGTGTTGTGTTGTGTTGTGTTGTGTTGTGTTGTGTTGTGTTATGTTTGTGTTGTGTTGTGTTGTTTTGTGTTGTTTTGTTGTGTTGTGTTGTGTTATGTTGTTTGTTGTTTTGTGTTTGTGTTGTGTTGTGTTGTGTTGTGTTGTGTTTGTGTTGTGTTGTGTTGTGTGTTGTGTTGTGTTTGTGTTGTTTTGTGTTGTGTTGTGTTGTGTTGTTGTGTTGTGTTGTGTTGTGTTGTGTTGTGTTGTTTTGTGTTGTTTTGTGTTGTGTTTGTGTTGTTTGTTTGTGTTGTTTTGTGTGTGTTGTGTTGTGTTGTGTTGTTTGTGTTGTTTGTTTGTGTTGTTTTGTTTGTGTTGTGTTGTGTTGTTTTGTTTGTGTTGTGTTTGTGTTGTGTTGTGTGTTGTGTTGTGTTGTTTTGTGTTGTTTTGTGTTGTTTTGTGTTGTGTTGTGTTGTTGTTGTGTTTGTGTTGTTTGTGTGTTGTGTTGTTTTGTGTTGTTTGTGTGTTGTGTTTGTGTTGTTTGTGTTGTGTTGTGTTGTGTTGTGTTGTTGTTTGTGTGTTGTTTGTTTGTTTGTTTGTTTGTGTGTTGTGTTGTGTTGTGTTGTGTGTTGTGTTGTGTTGTGTTGTTTGTGTGTTTGTGTGTTTGTGTTGTTGTGTTGTGTTGATGTTGTTTTTGTGTTGTGTTTGTTTGTGTTGTGTTGTTTGTGTTGTTGTTGTGTATGTTGTGTTGTTGTTTATGTTTGTGTTATGTTGTGTTGTGTTGTGTGTGTGTGTTTGTGTGTTTGTTGTGTTGTGTTGTGTTGATGTTGTGTTGTGTTTGTGTTGTTTTGTGTTGTGTTGTTTGTGTTGTGTTGTGTTGTGTTGTGTTGTGTTGTTTTGTGTTGTGTTTGTTTTGTGTTGTGTTATGTTGTGTTATGTTGTGTTGTTTTGTGTTGTTTTGTGTTGTGTTATGTTGTGTTATGTTGTTTGTGTTATGTTGTGTTTGTTTGTGTTGTTTTGTGTTGTGTTGTGTTGTTGTGTTGTGTTTGTGTTATGTTTGTTATGTGTTTGTTGTGTTGTGTTGTTTTGTGTTGTGTTGTGTTGTGTTATGTTGTGTTATGTTGTTTGTTATGTTGTGTTGTTTGTGTGTGTTGTGTTGTTGTTGTTTGTTATGTTGTGTTGTGTTGTGTTGTGTTGTGTGTTTGTGTTGTGTTATGTTGTGTTTGTTGTGTTATGTTGTGTTGTGTTTGTTGTTGTGTTGTTTGTGTTTGTTGTTTGTGTTATGTTGTGTTGTGTTGTGTTGTGTTTGTTGTGTTTTGTGTTGTGTTGTGTTGTGTTATGTTGTGTTGTGTTGTGTTGTGTTGTGTTGTGTTGTGTTGTGTTGTGTTATGTTGTGTTATGTTGTGTTGTGTTGTGTTGTGTTGTGTTGTGTGTTATGTTGTGTTATGTTGTGTTATGTTGTGTTGTGTTGTGTTATGTTGTGTTGTTGTTTTGTGTTGTGTTGTGTTGTGTTGTGTTGTGTTGTGTTATGTTGTGTTGTGTTGTGTTATGTTGTGTTATGTTGTGTTATGTTGTGTTGTGTTGTGTTATGTTGTGTTATGTTGTGTTATGTTGTGTTGTGTTGTTTTGTGTTGTGTTTGTGTTGTGTTGTGTTGTGTTGTGTTGTGTTGTGTTGTGTTGTGTTTGTGTTTGTTGTGTTGTGTTGTTGTGTTGTGTTATGTTGTGTTATGTTGTGTTGTGTTGTGTTATGTTGTGTTGTGTTGTTTGTGTTATGTTGTGTTATGTTGTGTTGTGTTGTTGTGTTATGTTGTGTTATGTTGTGTTGTGTTGTGTTGTGTTTTGTTGTGTTGTTTTGTGTTGTGTTGTGTTGTGTTATGTTGTGTTGTGTTGTGTTGTGTTGTGTTGTGTTGTGTTATGTTGTGTTGTTTGTTGTGTTATGTTGTGTTATGTTGTGTTATGTTGTGTTGTGTTGTGTTGTTTTGTGTTGTTTTGTGTTGTTTTGTGTTGTGTTGTGTTGTGTTGTGTTGTGTTTTGTTTTGTGTTGTGTTGTGTTGTGTTTTGTTGTGTTTTGTTGTGTTGTGTTGCGTCGTCTGAAACGGCCAACAGGGAAAATCAGACCCTCGCCCCCACCTGTGAGTGCGACATCATCACAATCTAGAATCTGAAAACCACCAACAGATGAGGAAATCAAACCTGTTCATCTCCAGACGTTTGTGCTAATTTCACATTCTCATTATTGTTTATTTTGTACGATCAAAAACAATAAACTTTGTGCTTTCTTTATGATTATTGTTATTATTATTGTGTGTATGTATATATGTGTTATGCATATGTGTGTGTGTGTGTGTGTGTGTGTATCTGCACTTATACTGAATATTTGTGCTGCTCCACACATGTGTTTTCATATTAAAGTATTTGACCAATCACATTTCAGACATCATCTGTTGCCGGGCAGAGTCAAAGTCAAAAAAGTCAGACTCCTTCACAGTCACTGTTCTGCAGAAACTCGAACACAAACCAAATGTCCACGAAACTGTCGCTTCAACCAATCAGATTTTGAGTTGGTGTCATCGGGGTCTTTAACAGCGAACGACAACGACACCGAGTCCAGACCCGAGACTCAAGTCAGAGAGAAAACCAGACAAAACAACAAACTGCATCTGCAACAGCGACGCGATACAAATTATTATTACTGTGTATTACTGTTATTCATGATTATTACTGTTATTCATGATTATTACTGTTATTCATGATTATTATTATGTATTACTGTTATTCATGATTATTACTGTTATTCATGATTATTATTATGTATTACTGTTATTCATGATTATTACTGTTATTCATGATTATTACTGTTATTCATGATTATTACTGTTATTCATGATTATTATTATGTATTACTGTTATTCATGATTATTACTGTTATTCATGATTATTATTATGTATTACTGTTATTCATGATTATTACTGTTATTCATGATTATTACTGTTATTCATGACCAGTGTGTAGTGGAGAGTTTTTAAGTGGGGGTACGTGATTCATGACTAAACCAGGAGGACTAAACCAGGACCGAACCAGGTCTAAACCAGGTCTAAATCAGAATTAAACCAGAATTAATCTTGGACATGAGAGCGAGAGAGAGAGAACCCCGAGTCTGTGGAGCAGGGAGTCCCCAAAGCGCGATCGGGTGACGGCTGCCCTGAGCTCTGCGCCGGTCCTTTTCACCTGCAGTCACTCACGTCTACACAGGCTCACCTCCAGGCCCGTCCCAAAGTCCTGGTTTAGACCTGGTTTAGACCTGGTTAAGTCCTGGTTTAGACCTGGTTTAGACCTGGTTTAGACCTGGTTTAGTCCTGGTTTAGTCCTGGTTTAGTCCTGGTTTAGACCTGGTTTAGACCTGGTTTAGACCTGGTTAAGTCCTGGTTTAGTCCTGGTTTAGACCTGGTTTAGACCTGGTTAAGTCCTGGTTTAGACCTGGTTAAGTCCTGGTTTAGTCCTGGTTTAGTCCTGGTCCCTGAAGTCACACTTTACTATAGGACAGTAATGGATTTATCAGTGTTTCCTACTTTACAGTTAAAGTGGTCGCCTTGACGTGAAGTGGCCCCCGCCTCGAGTACGTCCCTCTGAACCACGTGGACCCTCACTAAAGTCCAGTCTTCACATGAAATCTCACACATCCGCTGTGTGTGTGTGTGTGTATTTATCAAATGCATACGACAGGTAAGCAAAACAACAACAACAAAAAGTGTCTATTTGATTATGTAAAACAACTGGGGTAAAACATTAGAAGTTTTTTTAAACTTCATCCTCCTCCTTTTGAGCACCAGGTCCCAAATCTGTTCATGTCCTCGTTTCGTTTTTGTTTGTTTTTTTGTTAGTGTCGTTGATTTAGTTTTACCTCACTCAAACAAATAAATAAAATGAAAAACTAAATGAATATAGCAGGTCTCGTGTTTACTCAGAAATAGAAATGATCAGGATCAATATTTTAGATATTTCATGGTAAAATAAAATATATTTAACAGGAAAAACTGTCTCTTGCCCCTGAGTGAAAGCACGACATCATCACATTGTATAATCTGAAAAGTAGGTTGTTGGCTAAAAACATGCGGAACATTTTTCTTTTTTCTCGTAT